CAACAACAATAACCGAAATGAAAAAAAAAAGAGATAAAAACAACAGCTCAAACTATAGGTAAAATCGTGAGCCATGGCGCGTCGAAAGCACATACCAAACTATCGATTTTTATTCTCGATAGAGATGGTCTGTTGTTCCGCAGCATGCATAACCATATCTATTGGAACCAGACTATATACCATGTTTTATAGTCACTTTTTGTGTTTTGCATTTGCTACGAGAATATTGCAAGCCACAGACTATATGTATGAGTATCTACTGTTGATCGTCTTTTTTCTCTATTTCAATCGCTTTGCAAATGGTGTATTTTTTTTGCATTCACTCTTTCATTGCAATTCATTTCTTTTTGTATTTCGGTTGATTGAAAAGATCGCAATTTTCACACGAAAATCGCTTCGAAATTTAAACCAAAATAAAGAAGTATCGTACCGATGTAATAAATTATACTTGATTCGAGTGCACGAAATACTAAAGATTTCAATTGAAGACGAAGAAGAAACAACGACGACGACACGGCACAAAGAAAGAAAAAACGATATATAAAAATACAATGGTAGCAAAAGCGCTCATAACAAAAACAACTGACATGTGTCCATACATCCCAGTCCCATTCAAATCTCAAAACAAAGATTTATGTTGTCCAGTTGCTTCAGCTTTGCACAATAGCAAATCGCTTTAAAAGCGAGGGAGTCTAATTTACTCGTTTTTTTATATATATATATATTATCTTAAGAGATTTTATTTATTTGAACATCTTCAATGGATATTCTTATATATGGATTACAGTGAAGTAGTATTGATGATATTCAGGTTACACTGATTGCGGCATCTTCGTGTTTTTTTTCTCGTCTGTTTTTACACTTTGAATGAAATGAATCTAACAATCAAAAATCATACTGAACGAACGACTCTTCTATTAAAATTACTACTTCCATGCTTTTGAAAAAAGCATTGCAGTCATTGCTTTGCCTGTTACGACCCGTAAACATACATCACAGAGTGACACAGTTCAACTTCGGTGACTTCATATCCTGATAATATGAGGCCGACAGTTTTTGCTTCACAGCTTAGCACACGAAATCCTAAGTATACAAGCCAAGTTGCAAGTGTTCTATGGATGAAGTGTGAAGCTTCGACGACAGCCAGAAGCCTAGATAAATGCAACTCAAAAACATAACATACTTAAATTCGGAAATGTTTAGTGAATTATAAAAATTCGCAAAATGAAAAGCGCGTCATACGAAAACGAGAGTAATCATCATTTAATCTCACTTCAAGTAGTTAAACAAACATTCAAACATTCAAATATACGGGCTAAGTTGATTTTCATTTGAAGTGAGATTGAATGATGAGTTATTCCATTCGCTCATATCTGTGTATGACTTTATTTTATTTCTAAAATTTAATCAAAGAATATAAAAAAAACATGTGTATCAATTGATTAAAAAAAGTGAAAAAAAATTCACACGGAATCGAATCGTTGGTATCAAGAGTACTGTTAAACGGAGCGGCTCCGTGTGCGAAAATCGACGCATTAGCTGAAATATATTTCGTATTCTTTCGTTCACACAGTATCCAATTGAGCATTGCCATATGTATTGATACTGTTCAATCCACTTGCTAAATCCGATATACACGCGCATACATAACCGAGTTTGTCGATAAAATGCATTGCGCGAAAGACACTGACTGATTTGAAATAGAGAAAAACTATGGTCGCACACTTTAGTAGCATAAAACGCTTTACGTTTTATGCAGCATGTCGTTCTTTTAGCAGATAATTGGTTTGGTTTCACAATAAAACAGCGATTTGATTTAAAGTTTATGTACTTAACCTTATGAAACCGATCCGATACGATATACCTATGCACACATTTTTCAGTGTGATTGTAATTACCATTGTGGCAGACTGCATCAAGTATCGTCGCATCGCAGTACACATTCGTTATATTGGCAATTTGTATGCCGAAGCTTATGTGTCTGTTTGTGGTAGAAAGAAAGAGATTGAACTGTTGCCCATGTTCTTCACATAAATCGTTAGATCTTTTTTTTTTGTTATACAATTCATTAATGCAAAATGATGTCTTCGTGAGTCTCTCTCTTTCTTTTTTGCTCCCTCTCCACCATTTCAATACGATGCGCGCATATTTTTGCGCTGCCGCATCTATGTTAATTCATTATATGCTCTTTCAAAATCAAACGGTACTCTTTTTTCATGCTACTCGTGTCATTTATTTTAATCGCTAGACATTTTCCTGTTCGTCTCGATATTCACATGCACAATGGCTACACATAACCACTGCATCATCGTCGTCATCGTCGTTTTTATGCCACATTAAAAAGGCACTTTCCCAGGCTCTGTTTCAATCGCATTTAATTTCTAATTTCCTCTCCAAAATATATGGCATACACATAGACGAACCAAATCATCAGATGTAGACAACAACAAAAAAAACAACAGACGAGAGAGAACCGAATCCACCTGTTTGCCCAGTTCTCAATCCAAATTCATGAAGAAAATTTAAAGATTGTAGTTTCCATCGGTTCGAAGATTGATAAAAAGAAAACACATGATTGAATCAGGTGCATTTATAAACTGACGGTTAAATACTGAGTGAGAGAAAGAAGAAGCGATGGGAAAATTTGAAAGGTGCATTGCCGGACGATTGTTATACATTTGTGTTCGTAAATCATAATATAATATTCGAAATGGTCAGGTGATTCCCTCATTTTTGTTTTACGAACCAATGATACCGGTGATTTAAAACCTTTTTTCCAACAATAATCAAACGAATTGAAGCCATGAAAATAATGTACAGAATTGATGGTTTGAACAAAATGAATTGAATGCAAAAGAATTAAAAAAATAGAGTGAAATTTGTGAAATTGTTTCAAATGATGGTAGAAAAATTAATTGCAATTTCTTGCAACTCATTATTTTCTTTTTTTTCTTCGTTAAATTGTCAATAATTATTTTGCACCTTTTGTTTTGCGCCACGGAACTCATCAGCCATAAAAAAAACTGTGTTGGCTTTGTTTATTTATTCATCAGCTTGTTCTGCGCAAAATTATGTACTATGTAATGCTAAAATATAGAATATTCCGTTTGCTCATAGCTATTTCACATAAAATAATTCTATTTTTATATATTTTGTTCAAAACAATTGCCGTGCTCTCTTTTGTCAAAAATCTTCTCAAGTACATTTCAAATAAATGCGATTCCACACTTTTATACTCATATTTCAAGTACTTTGTTATAGCTCTGCTATATAATTTTCGATTACAAACCACAGTCGAGCAAAAAATTGAGTTTGTTTTTAAGATTTTTTTAAGATGGCACACGATAATTCCTAAAAGGCGAAAGGAATTACTCTCACAATTTGCAGTCACTTCGTCTATAAGGCATATGCAAGAAAAATGTACAGATTTTGTCATCCATTTACAGTCAGTGCTCACGATTTCTGTATTAAATTAAAAATCTGTGAAGATGCTCGTTCTCATCGAAAAAAGGCACAGATTTGAGCGACGAATATTGGTTGGGCTTTGTACACCATAGAATAATACGCTACGATCCAAAAAATAGTCATGTTCATCTTAAAACATTTGTTGCCTGAACTTTATTTTTTCTTCTCTATCATTTTACAACAGTTATGTGCACAACTCAACAATAACAACAACAAAAAGATGACAATATTCGCATGCTGTCTCTTTAAATGTGTCTTCTTGTGGTTGTACATTGGCGAATATATATCTGTGAGAAACTTATGACGACCGAAAAAAAATAGTTTCATTTGTTTGGCAACTTTTGTTACCAACAAATAAATTCTGATTGTGTGATTTAGCTTCTCATTGTGCAAAATGTATTTCCAAAAAGGAATAGAAGAAAAGAGTGGAAAAGAAGTAAATATGGCCAAAAAAATACGAAAAAAATACGCAATCATTTCTCAGTTATAATTAACATTCAACATTTTTTGGCAATTTTTTTTCTCGCCTCTCCATTCGTTCTCTCTCTCTCTCTCTCTCTCTCTCTCTCTCTCTCTCATTTTGCACAAAAATCAAAATGCACACAAAAAGCGCAATAATTCATGAAAACTGAAATGAGATTGTTTGGTTTTAGCTCGATGGAAAAAGAAAATACGCTCTGGTTGCTGGTTGCACTTATATTTTTTTTGTATGCATTCACAATTTGTGTTGAGTGTGCAAATTTTCACAATTTTACTTTTCGTAAATCGTTTCATGTGCAAATTGCTTGGAAGATTTAATATTCTCTTCCTGATTTTTGCTTTCGTTCATGTCGTGCTGCCGTCATTCAAACCGCCACGATTCGCAGAATATTTTCTTACGCGAAGTAAAAAAAACGCCAAAGAATAGTTACAAAAAGAAACACACAGCGAGAAATAATGCATAAAAAAATACCTCTTGCTTTGTATGTGTCTGCGTTTTTCGAACAATATTATGTTTGCTTGGTTAGAATGGAATGCCCTGACATTGACATTTCAACGCGACTATAATAGATCTGAAATGCACAGCGTGTGGTGTGGGATTTGTGCACACACAAACACACATTTTGCATGTACATGGCCCCGTTGGCCTCGTTTTGTATCACTTTATTTGCATTTCATGTTATTTGGTAGTTTATTATCGAAAAATGAGCGAAAACTGAACCGAAAGACAAAACCACACTGCAGGTCATCCATCTATTTTTGTGATAGAAAAATGTTGACTGTTGAGTGAACGTTTTCACTTATTTTCATTCTTAGTTTATGTTCCGGTGTTACTTTATGGATCTTTATTACATTGCGCTTTATTGGCTTTGGCCGTTTGCTTGATTCTCAAATAAGGGCACAAGTGGAAAATATGCACATACGGTCTCTTTTGCACAATGAAAATGAATATTCAACTATAGTTCTGTTGGAGCGCAAATCGCGCGGCGGCATTTATGGTGTAGATCGGTAACGGTTAAAAGTAAAACTTTGTTCAAAAACAGTTTTGCCAGAACCTTTGAACGATGATGTTGAATCATCCATTCCGCCAAAGGTGAACCATTAACATACTCATTTAAAAATGAAAGCAAATAGCATCCCAACAAAATAATTGATCACTTTCTAAACAGCCACCAAAGATGTAACCGAATTACACTGTGCGAAAGTGAAAATCTCATTTGCGGAAAAATCAAACCAAAATTCTGAACATTTAAGAGTGAGAACTACTCGAAAAGTACATCACAAAACATATACAAATTCAAGAAAAAAAAAGAGTATATTTCGCACGTGAACGAAAACTTTTTTGGGTGAAAAAAAATTACGACTTTTAAGTACGGTTTTTAGTTCATTTAAAGCAGTGATTGTATCGTTCTCAGTACGTTAAATAAATGTGATAATAGCATTCAGAGCGTTTAACTATATGCCTGAACGTATGCATTTATTGCACAAAAATTATTTATGCAACAAGAACACCTAAGACCAAATAAAGACCGCATTGCAAGATAATTTATGAGTTTTTGCCGTTTAAAATTAACGCATACTCGTACTGACGGTGAAACGTGCAGTGTTGTGAGTGTGCAATTTTCGTTCGTTCGCCCATTGTGACGAGATATAGTTGAAAAATTACAAGTTGCTTCTGAACGTGTCTGAGCATTTGTTTCTCTTTTTATTCAGATCTAACACGTTTGTCTCTTGTGTTCGTTGCCTGAACATGATTCAAGTGGTAAGCTCTTGAGGGGTTGCTTTTGTTCAAAACATATATCATCGTAGAAAATATTTTGCATGGCCATATTCAACTGTTCATTCGAATTGCATTTAAAATGATATCAACCATTTTAATTGAGTTCATTTTTTTTAAAATCATTTTTCAGGTTATAATGATTGAAGAACCGAACGGTAATCAACGGTTGTCATCAAGTTCAGTGATTCCAATTGCCTCGTCAAATTCGAATGATGATTTGAGTCAAAGTTTATCTGCTTCAGAGTATACAGATGCCGATGAAAGTATGTCAGCACCGACGGAGTATTTGGCCGAGGTATGAAAAGTGCAAAAATATTATAAAACATAAATTCGGCGAAAACTCACATTCAAATTGGCTAGATTTATGAATTAATTTACGCATTTGCGTTTTGAACGTAAATACACCGAATTGAGAATCTTTTTGTTTGTGATTTCAAGCTGAAATATATTCAATTCGTATGCGGTTAAATGAGTTTTATAAAAAAAAGTTAAATGGTTGTTCCTGGCATCGAAAAATATTATAGAGTATTTACTCACATTTTACGTTATTTATCATAGTTTTAAAGGTTATTTATTCGTTGAGAGTGAGAGTACTTTAGTCTTTCCGCCTGAATTTATGCTATATAAATTTGAATGCATATTTTTATCGAGCATAGGCTACGTTTTGGCGGTTCTTTATTTTCTTCTTCTGTTCATCAAAAGCAGGAAATCCTTTAAATTGAGGTCGTTTTGTTCAATAACGAATCTTTTTTCTTTCATTTTTCCGCTTAGTTTTTGTCGGCGGTGATGCAAAAGGACTATCGTAAAGCCCTAAAATATTGTAAACTCAGTAAGTCATCTCTTTTGTGTCACAATCATAAAATATTCTACATGTTTTATGTTTTTTTGCAGTCCTTGACTTCGAACCGAACAACGTAACCGCCAGAGAATTTTATCCATTGATAGAGGAACGCATGAGATGTAAGTGTGTGAGAGAGAGAATGCAATAATTTTCATGATTAGCTAATGAAACTGATTTTTTTTTGTCTTTAAAATATTGGCGTTCTCTTTGTTCATGGTGCAGCCATGGAAGAAAGGTCGTCAAGTGATGAAGAGAATGAAAATTATGGTAATGTAATGTTTACGACTGAAGACGATGAAGTACAAAATGTGGCCGTTCCAAATGATTGTTTTTTCCATCATCGTTTGGACGAAAGTGTTGATGATTTGGTGAATGTATCGCATAATAGTGATAGCAGCGGCGAAGAGTCGGACGATTATTACAATGATTTTGAAGAGAAATATTCGATTGGCTCAAATAAGTCGATATCATCGAATGCAGAAAGTGAGAACACGACACATTCCTATTCGAATTCGTTGCTTGAAGACGAAGAAGATAACAATGGCGATGTATCGGATAGTGATTTAGAAGCAGACGATCAATACGAAGACGCACATCTACTCTTGCCCATTGCTAGAATGGAAAAAATGCCCGATTTAAGCGACTTGAACAATGGTATGTCCAAGAGATGGTCTCTATAGACTGTAACATTTTTTTTTTCGTCTTTTGTTTCGTTCCTCTTTTCCTCTCATTACAGTGTATTAGAATAGCCAGTATATAGATAACTTCAACCATTGACCATTTCCGTCCATAGTTGAATCATGTTTACAACATCAACAATAGCACAACAACCAATAAATTTCTTTATAGATAATATTTTCATATATTTTTTTGTATGCTTTTTTCTATACTCATACTAGGAAATTATCATCAGCCAACGTCATGTAGTGATTCAGAATCACCAACCGAACCACTGACACAAAAAGTTGTACCAATCCAATAAATAAGGGACGAATGAATCGGAGACACACACACACATACATACCATCCTTAGTTTATTTTATACACGACATTTTTCACCTTATACTCTAGCTTTCATTAATGGCATTCAAATCATTCATTACCAAAATCAAAAGTTACCTGTTTTCTATGTAGCGCACATTCGTTTTAATCATATTTAGCTCGTCACAGTAATCTTAAAACGATTTATACAATTTGTGTGCGCATTGATTCTACGGTTTTATCAACAATTAAAAAAAAACAATAAATCGAATAATTACTGATATGTTTATAGTAAAATAACTGAGCAAAGCAGTATACCATTGATCAATGTGCTCAATGTAATTATTCGGTTTTTCTTTCTTTTTTTCACTCACAAAAAATCTCACATATCTCATACTATAGTCAATAGTCATGTTTATAGATAATAACGAAATATACTATTATATATACATGTATATCACAACAAAATAAGTAAATTCTGACAAATGTAAAATTAATATTGTAAACACCAATACTCAATACAAAATTTATTCTTTTTTTTTTACTCATTGTTCTTCAAATATTAAGAAAAACAATACCGGATCCATTAAAGACATTAATTACACTACATTTTTGATTTGTAATCTCTTTTAAATACCAAGCGACCACTTGAAATAATGAATTAAAATTTCGACAATGACATTTAAATGAAATATTCTTTGCCAAATTAAAATTGCGAATTATATTTTATGTTAAGAAATTCATTTTGAAATATTCAAAGCAAAGAAAAATTAACATTTTGTGTGTCGAATGGGTTAGTGCAGCAATTCCGTTGAGAATAAATGAAACGATGTGATGGATGCGAAGTAGGTAGACACCGAGTGCTCTTTTTTTCATAAATTCTTTTTTTTTACGTTATAGGTATCGTTTTTTTTTTTTTTTGCAAAATGAGAACTCACTGAAAAGACTATTGATTGCCTTCAATTTTTTTTTATCAATTAACCTAAGTTTGAGATTTTTTTTACATGATTATTGTTCATTTATCGAATATATTTCAAATATAGACTGGACATTACATCGAGTGGCAATTAATATTAATTTGTTTAGTTATTAAGAATTATGTATAATCATTAATTTATTTACGTACTTAACTTTAAAGAAACCGAATGAAATGACCAATTGTAGAAGTTTGAAGAAAATTTAGGATGAAGAATAAAAATGATTTTGCCAATTTGTCACAAAAATGATTCAGTTTGGCCGAAAAGAGTTGTATTGTAAATGTTATTGGCCGAGATTCAAATATTATGTGCACAAACTCCGGAGAAAATTCCACGGTGAATTTATACTTTGGATTTTTTTTTCATTGAGCAGAAAAATGGGATATTGTGATTCAAATGGGATTTGTGAAAATGTCGTAAAATAAATATTACAGTTACGAATTGTATCTCAGAGAAAAAGGTAACCAAAGAACGTAACAAACGACAATTCAAATTCTCTATGGAGTCCTTTTAATATGTATCCCATTTTTGTTCTCACTTCGTAATGTGAACAAAATTCGAAAATTAAAACGATTTGGCTATCGAACAAATTCGAATACAAACATTTTTTTCATAAGATATTTGATTTTAAAAAACATACATACCCAGTACTTTTGTCGTTTCAATACGTATCCCAATTCTTCATGTTTTACATCTAAAATTGTGATGTCCAACGTGAAAATTACAAAATCAATGATCGAGCCAACCTTTACATGCATTTTTTTATGCTAATGTCTTTCTTTTCGCAAAAACCACAATGAAATTATTCATCAGTGTCGCTATTATCCGTTAAACAGAATAGAAACATTCTATTCGAAAGGTGTTTAAAATTTGCTTTTGCTTTCTTTAGTTCCGAGTAATTTAATAGAAGAATTGGGCTTCGTTTCAGCACTCTACTCTATATAAATGCAAGCTTGATGAAATATTTATTTGCAATTATTCAATAAGTATATGTATTTATTAAATTGGTGAACTAAAAAACACACACACATCCACACCCACTCAAAATTGTCACATTTTTCTTTTCTTTTTTCAAATTTTCGAAATAAAGTGTAATCAAAATCAAACATTTTTTTATTGAGTTTGCTGTTTATTTTCCAATATAATATAGCGTACTTGCTGTGTGCATTCGAAAATGAAAAAAACAATTTTGGAATTTGTTAATTTAATATGTCGCTTTCATTTTATTCATTTGTAAGTTAATTTTAATAATATACAAATGTTTAGTTTCATTTTAAAAAAATACTACAATATTATATATGTTTGTGATTGCTAAATTGTTCTGACATTATAATTATAATTAACTGCACTGATAATGGTTCTTTTTAAATGGCTTTTCTATCGTTTTACTGTGTTAATTCCTCTTCCATCTTTCTTTCTCATTCGATTCATTCAATTATCAATTATTTACTAGTCGAATTCATCTATGTGTGTTTGTATGTGCTTGAATTCGGAAAGAGACTTTAGCGCAAATGGTTCTGTGTATGATATGTGATTTGTTTGATGTGATCGTCTACAAAGATGAGAATGACATTCGCGACATTCGTTTACAAACAAATGAAAAAAAAGTAACTCGAATTCAGTTGTTTCTTCTGAAAATTTGACTTTGGATTCATGATCAATAGAACTGAAGTTTGAACATGGTATTCAATTGGCACTGCCTTCAAAATTTTATTCCTGTTATATATTTATTTTTCAGTTGTATTATAACAATGAATCTCTATCACTTAAAAAAAATAAATTCATCTTGAATTCGAGTTTTAAAAAAATATTTTTGAATCAAATATAAAAACAATCCTATCAAAGCACCTTCAGCAGTCCCAATTTATGTATACCTGCATTTTACTATCCATTTTAATAGAAGAATATTTTCATCCTTGCACTCATTACTTTCTGATACATTTTCAACGGTTGACTTAAACAGAAATTGATCGCAACGACTTGAAACCAATCGAATGCGTTAAGTTTATGACATAGTTTAGGAAACAAACGCGGTTTTTTTTAGGATAAAAGGGGTTATTAAAATATGTGGCCAATTTCAGGAGTGCTCTATTACACGATTCTTAATATAGTATATCTATATATATATAATGAGGATGATGATAAATGAAATTTGTGGTGTAAAATATAAACCTTAGTGTGTATCGAACTTTGTATATAGAACACGGTGTCAATATTGATGATGACATTTGTATTTCTATCATTTGCTTTCGATTCGATCAATTGTACATAATACAATTCGAAGCTCTAGCTTTAAAATTATATAAATACGAAGACAAAACGTTTAACAAAATTTGATTTTTGATTTAAAATATGGATGCATTGCGTTTCGATTCATGAACGAAACGATTATTCAGCCAATTTATGTTATCTACTTTTCAATTAGTTATTTGAAAATTGTTGTCTCAATGTTCGCTTTATATGTTTTAGGTGAAATGAATTGTTTTGAACACACATTTACTGTGAACGATCAATATGAATTCGGAATACCTCATCATTTTGTTAATTTCCTATTCATTTCTATATATATATATATAATCAATATCGGCCAAAAATCTCATCAATTATTTAATGCTGTCAACTAAATCTTTTGTAGGTGTGTCTGTATTCGTTTCAATAAGAAGCTCTGTTTTTGTATATCGCGTGTGCTGCGAAATTCGTTCGATGACACATGATGCAGTCAATCGAGCTTCCGCGTCATGGTCCCAACATTCTTCCATTGTGTTGCACATAGCAGCCAACCCCTATTTGATAAATGTGATCAAATTAGAGAGTAAAATAATTTTGTTATTGTTTTTAAACATTTTCATTGCTAAATTCTACTACTTACACTGTGATCGCGCCAATGTTCTGGTATCGGTGGTCGATTTTTATTTGTGACGATATGCTCTTGCATGGCATCCAATGTTGGACGAAGACCAAGCTCAATTTCAAATGGCAACGTGTATTCGGTAACCGGTCCACCATGTGCAGTACACCGTGATACCAATTCCCATAAAACCAAAGCACAGGCGTACACATCAATGCGAAGAAAAGCGTCACGTGTAAAATTGATTGCACCTTCAAGTACTTCGGGTGCCATATAACGTTGTGTACCAACTTGACCATGAGTGTCACCGCATGGGATGTCTATTACAAAACAAAACAAAACAAATAATATAACAAATCGTTTAAATTTCTTTGTTTATAAATTGAAAATGTACCTGGTTGAAAGACAAGGGCCAATCCAAAGTCAGCAATGCATGCCGTTAAATCATATTTAAGTAGAACATTTTTGCTCTTAAAATCACGATGTGCTACAGCTGGCTTTAGTCCATCAGTTTTCGATGCTGGTATTTCTTCATGTAAATGCATTAGACCGCGTGCCATTGATTCAGCGATTTTGCACAATTCTGGCCATGTAACGGTGTGCGCTTTCAAATAATCACACAACGAACCGTGTGAATGATATGCAGTAATCAACCAGTATTCGGATTTATCCAAATGCTTTTCAACGCCAATAAATTCCAATATATTTGGATGCTTCATTCTTGCAAGCTGCAAATTAAAAGAACACTCGACACATTAGAAAAGTTGAAGACATGATTTTCACTTAGAAGTTACACACATTGAATATACTTTGTTCGGTGATCCATGAATCTTTTTCTTGTAATGGAAACACTTTGACGGCTACTTCTCCTTCTGGTTTGAGTTGAGCACGCCAAACAGCGCCAAAACGACCTCTCGCTTTCAATTCAAGCAAATGAATTGGCCGATTTTGTGCAAGCATTGCATTTGATCCATGCGCATCTGGTTCGTTCTGTTCAAATGAAAATAAAAATGGATTCAAAAAAAAAAACTAATGAAATAATTTACTCGAAAATGAATAATACAAACCGTTGGAATTTCATTGAACATTGCATTCTTTTTGTTTTTATAAAATGATACAAAGAATATTATAAAGCCGACAATAACGAGGAAACCAAACACGATAATAACAATTTTATATATATTCATATCATCCGGCTGTGGAACTGAAATGTGAGTAAAATTAACTGAGAATATAGACTTTTTTTATTGATTTATATTGTATTAATATGAAATACATACTGTTTTCTTCGACCTTTGGTGGTTTGGTTGTGGTCGGTACTAGTTTATATTTTGAATTACACATGTGACCGGTGCAACAACAAAAATTCATCTTTTTTGGCTCATTTGCTATACATTCCGTATTGTTGCATGCACTATCTGTGAAGCACCCTTTCATTTTAACGTATGTTTCACCTGAAATCGAAATCGAATGCGCATGAAATTTACTGATTTAGTAACGGACAGAGAAAATTGATGATCTATTGAAAATACGAACCGGTCAGATTATCAGTGGCCCATAATGCAAAACATGAGCCAGGACGATCCGATTCGCTACTGACGCATCGCACAACATTATCTTGACAAACATCTTGGCTGCTTGTTTGTGTTGTATTAAAACATTCGCAATCAACTCCTTTGAGTACATTTGCAGTGGCTACAGTGATTCCTGAAATATCATTAACATTAAATACACGTTGAAATGATGAAAAGATATTTAATCGAATATGTGTGATAAGAAAGAAAATGACATAAAAACAGAATTGTATATGTTTATATGAAAAACAAAAACGTCATGCTATTGACGTACACCACATATTCATCTATGTTTGATGTTTACACATTTAATATTTGAATACAAAATCTATTTAATTCATATATTTTTTTTTCTTTTCTTCTTTCTATCTTTATCAGTGCCTTTCATTCTATCTCTCGCACTCTCGCTCTCTCGCTCTCTCGCTCCCTCTTCATTCTCTATTCTAGTCTTTTTCATTTTCATTATGTCTGGTCTAAAAATAAAATGAAATTGGATGTCAAATGAAATTTAACAAATTTAATGCGTTAGACCCGAAAAGATTTTGCGTATAAGATTTATATCATGTTGAGTTCATTCAACACAATATTCGTTTGACTAGAAAAAAAATGGAATGAATTTTTCGTAAATCAAGACAACGCACAGCGAATAAAATATAAGAAATCTAAGTCGTATGCATATATCACATTTGTTGTCTCGTCTGTGGAATGCAGATTCCATTATTTGTGATCAAAATAGAAAATACATTGTGGAAGGTACCATATACTAAAATTCACACGCACATGCATACACACAAATGCACACACGCATACGGAACACACAAATGCACTAGACACGCGCTCTTTGTCGCGACACTGGGCGATTTATTTGAAGATTGAAAAGAGAGAGAGAGAAAGAGTGAAAAGAACAAAAAAAAAACTGTCTGGAACTGTTAGATTCCAATTGATAGAACTTCCAACTCGTAATGCTTCATATTGATTGATTTCTTTTCTCTTGATTTGCATTCGAAACTGATTTCATTTTTGTCCATAAATTAAAATCAAAATTGAAAAAAACTAACCCACTGCACCGATAATTAAAACCAACGAAATACACTTCAACATTGTTTATTACTGCCGTTGTTATTATTTTGGTTAACTTAATGACATCTAGGCGAATTCACACCATCATCTGCTACTAATTTTGTATATATTTTTATTTATTTTTCTATCCAATTTTCACAATTAAACTTTTATACACGCACTGAAGGTAAATTTTTAATTATTTTAAAGAGAAAGAAAAATAACAACTGAGAGACACGATCGAATGATGCGACTCTTTCTGAAACATTTGTCAACAACATAAAAACTGTTCAATTGGCCATGTTGGTTCCATTGTGTATGTGAATTCAAGACTTATGTATGTGAATGCGAGATTTGTATATGTGAATGCTTTTTACTCGCTTAAGTAGCTTATACTGTCTGACAGATTATTGTTGTTGTTACTTTTTTTAAGTCTGGCGCCATCTGAAATATATAATAACATATATGCTGCTAACTAATTTATATTATATGCTGTTAATAATTTTGTATATATATGTTATTATATCTGTCAGATGGCGCCAGAGATAAAAAAAGCAACAACAACAATAATCTGTCATTCACATATACAAATCTCGCATTCACATACATAAGTCTTGAATTCACATACACAATGGAACCAACATGGCCAATTGAACAGTTTTTATGTTGTTGACAAATGTTTCAGAAAGAGTCGCATCATTCGATCGTGTCTCTCAGTTGTTATTTTTCTTTCTCTTTAAAATAATTAAAAATTTACCTTCAGTGCGTGTATAAAAGTTTAATTGTGAAAATTGGATAGAAAAATAAATAAAAATATATACAAAATTAGTAGCAGATGATGGTGTGAATTCGCCTAGATGTCATTAAGTTAACCAAAATAATAACAACGGCAGTAATAAACAATGTTGAAGTGTATTTCGTTGGTTTTAATTATCGGTGCAGTGGGTTAGTTTTTTTCAATTTTGATTTTAATTTATGGACAAAAATGAAATCAGTTTCGAATGCAAATCAAGAGAAAAGAAATCAATCAATATGAAGCATTACGAGTTGGAAGTTCTATCAATTGGAATCTAACAGTTCCAGACAGTTTTTTTTTTGTTCTTTTCACTCTTTCTCTCTCTCTCTTTTCAATCTTCAAATAAATCGCCCAGTGTCGCGACAAAGAGCGCGTGTCTAGTGCATTTGTGTGTTCCGTATGCGTGTGTGCATTTGTGTGTATGCATGTGCGTGTGAATTTTAGTATATGGTACCTTCCACAATGTATTTTCTATTTTGATCACAAATAATGGAATCTGCATTCCACAGACGAGACAACAAATGTGATATATGCATACGACTTAGATTTCTTATATTTTATTCGCTGTGCGTTGTCTTGATTTACGAAAAATTCATTCCATTTTTTTTCTAGTCAAACGAATATTGTGTTGAATGAACTCAACATGATATAAATCTTATACGCAAAATCTTTTCGGGTCTAACGCATTAAATTTGTTAAATTTCATTTGACATCCAATTTCATTTTATTTTTAGACCAGACATAATGAAAATGAAAAAGACTAGAATAGAGAATGAAGAGGGAGCGAGAGAGCGAGAGAGCGAGAGTGCGAGAGATAGAATGAAAGGCACTGATAAAGATAGAAAGAAGAAAAGAAAAAAAAATATATGAATTAAATAGATTTTGTATTCAAATATTAAATGTGTAAACATCAAACATAGATGAATATGTGGTGTACGTCAATAGCATGACGTTTTTGTTTTTCATATAAACATATACAATTCTGTTTTTATGTCATTTTCTTTCTTATCACACATATTCGATTAAATATCTTTTCATCATTTCAACGTGTATTTAATGTTAATGATATTTCAGGAATCACTGTAGCCACTGCAAATGTACTCAAAGGAGTTGATTGCGAATGTTTTAATACAACACAAACAAGCAGCCAAGATGTTTGTCAAGATAATGTTGTGCGATGCGTCAGTAGCGAATCGGATCGTCCTGGCTCATGTTTTGCATTATGGGCCACTGATAATCTGACCGGTTCGTATTTTCAATAGATCATCAATTTTCTCTGTCTGTTACTAAATCAGTAAATTTCATGCGCATTCGATTTCGATTTCAGGTGAAACATACGTTAAAATGAAAGGGTGCTTCACAGATAGTGCATGCAACAATACGGAATGTATAGCAAATGAGCCAAAAAAGATGAATTTTTGTTGTTGCACCGGTCACATGTGTAATTCAAAATATAAACTAGTACCGACCACAACCAAACCACCAAAGGTCGAAGAAAACAGTATGTATTTCATATTAATACAATATAAATCAATAAAAAAAGTCTATATTCTCAGTTAATTTTACTCACATTTCAGTTCCACAACCGGATGATATGAATATATATAAAATTGTTATCATCGTGTTTGGTTTCCTCGTTATTGTCGGCTTTATAATATTCTTTGTATCATTTTATAAAAACAAAAAGAATGCAATGTTCAATGAAATTCCAACGGTTTGTATTATTCATTTTCGAGTAAATTATTTCGTTAGTTTTTTTTTTAATCCATTTTTATTTTCATTTGAACAGAACGAACCAGATGCGCATGGATCAAATGCAATGCTTGCACAAAATCGGCCAATTCATTTGCTTGAATTGAAAGCGAGAGGTCGTTTTGGCGCTGTTTGGCGTGCTCAACTCAAACCAGAAGGAGAAGTAGCCGTCAAAGTGTTTCCATTACAAGAAAAAGATTCATGGATCACCGAACAAAGTATATTCAATGTGTGTAACTTCTAAGTGAAAATCATGTCTTCAACTTTTCTAATGTGTCGAGTGTTCTTTTAATTTGCAGCTTGCAAGAATGAAGCATCCAAATATATTGGAATTTATTGGCGTTGAAAAGCATTTGGATAAATCCGAATACTGGTTGATTACTGCATATCATTCACACGGTTCGTTGTGTGATTATTTGAAAGCGCACACCGTTACATGGCCAGAACTGTGCAAAATCGCTGAATCAATGGCACGCGGTCTAATGCATTTACATGAAGAAATACCAGCATCGAAAACTGATGGACTAAAGCCAGCTGTAGCACATCGTGATTTTAAGAGCAAAAATGTTCTACTTAAATATGATTTAACGGCATGCATTGCTGACTTTGGATTGGCCCTTGTCTTTCAACCAGGTACATTTTCAATTTATAAACAAAGACATTTAAACGATTTATTATATTATTTGTTTTGTTTTGTAATAGACGTCCCATGCGGTGACACTCATGGTCAAGTTGGTACACAACGTTATATGGCACCCGAAGTACTTGAAGGTGCAATCAATTTTACACGTGACGCTTTTCTTCGCATTGATGTGTACGCCTGTGCTTTGGTTTTATGGGAATTGGTATCACGGTGTACTGCACATGGTGGACCGGTTACCGAATACACGTTGCCATTTGAAATTGAGCTTGGTCTTCGTCCAACATTGGATGCCATGCAAGAGCATATCGTCACAAATAAAAATCGACCACCGATACCAGAACATTGGCGCGATCACAGTGTAAGTAGTAGAATTTAGCAATGTAAATGTTTAAAAACAATAACAAAATTATTTTACTCTCTAATTTGATCACATTTATCAAATAGGGGTTGGCTGCTATGTGCAACACAATGGAAGAATGTTGGGACCATGACGCGGAAGCTCGATTGACTGCATCATGTGTCATCGAACGAATTTCGCAGCACACGCGATATACAAAAACAGAGCTTCTTATTGAGACGAATACAGACACACCTACAAAAGATTTAGTTGACAGCATTAAATAATTGATGAGATTTTTGGCCGATATTGATTATATATATATATATAGAAATGAATAGGAAATTAACAAAATGATGAGGTATTCCGGATTCATATTGATCGTTCACAGTAAATGTGTGGTCAAAACAATTCATTTCACCCAAAACATATAAAGCGAACATTGAGACAACAATTTTCAAATAACTAATTGAAAAGTAGATAACATAAATTGGCTGAATAGTCGTTTCGTTCATGAATCGAAACGCAATGCATCCATATTTTAAATCAAAAATCAAATTTTGTTAAACGTTTTGTCTTCGTATTTATATAATTTTAAAGCTAGAGCTTCGAATTGTATTATGTACAATTGATCGAATCGAAAGCAAATGATAGAAATACAAATGTCATCATCAATATTGACACCGTGTTCTATATACAAAGTTCGATACACACTAAGGTTTATATTACTATTTTTTACACCACAAATTTCATTTATCATCATCCTCATTATATATATATATAGATATACTATATTAAGAATCGTGTAATAGGGCACTCCTGAAATTGGCCACATATTTTAATAACCCCTTTTGTCCTAAAAAAAACCGCGTTTGTTTCCTAAACTATGTCATAAACTTAACGCATTCGATTGGTTTCAAGTCGTTGCGATCAATTTCTGTTTAAGTCAACCGTTGAAAATGTATCAGAAAGTAATGAGTGCAAGGATGAAAATATTCTTCTATTAAAATGGATAGTAAAATGCAGGTATACATAAATTGGGACTGCTGAAGGTGCTTTGAATTCATTTGATAGGATTGTTTTTATATTTGATTCAAAGATATTTTTTTTAAACTCGAATTCAAGATGAATTTATTTTTTTTAAGTGATAGAGATTCATTGTTATAATACAACTGAAAAATAAATATATAACAGGAATAAAATTTTGAAAGCAGTGCCAATTGAATACCATGCTCAAACTTCAGTTCTATTGATCATGAATCCAAAGTCAAATTTTCAGAAGAAACAACTGAATTCGAGTTACTTTTTTTTCATTTGTTTGTAAACGAATGTCGCGAATGTCATTCTCATCTTTGTAGACGATCACATCAAACAAATCACATATCATACACAGAACCATTTGCGCTAAAGTCTCTTTCCGAATTCAAGCACATACAAACACACATAGATGAATTCGACTAGTAAATAATTGATAATTGAATGAATCGAATGAGAAACAAAGATAGAAGAGTAACTGAAACAGTAAAACAGATAGAAAAGCCATTTTAAAAGAACCTTTGGTTATCAGTGCAATTAATTATAATGTCAGAACAATTTAGCAATCACAAACATACATAACATTGTAGTATTTTTTTAATGAAACGAAACATTTGTATATTAAAAATTCACTTACAAATGAATAAAATGAAAGCGACATATTAAATTAACAAATTACAAGATTGTTTTATCATTTCCGAATGCACACAGCAAGTACGCAATATTCATCGTTTTTATTACATGGAAAATATACAGCAAACCCTAGAAAAAAATTTGATAATACCTTTTGTCATGGTGGTTTTTACGAAAAGAAATGCATTGCTATCAGATAATGCATACAAAAATGGCCTGATTTTATGCCTGAACATATCGAACGCTTGTCCGGAAGCAAAAGCATCAAATCCTTTTGTCTATCTGCCGTTTGGCTTTGGACCCAGAAGTTTTGTTGGTAAAAGATTTGCCGAATTGGAGATTTACGTGCTGATGACACGGTTATTAGGAAAATATCGTATTGAATACGACTACGGACCATTGGAATATAGATATATTTTTGTAATATCGCCGACTAGTGATTTGAAATTCAAGCTAACGGAAATTTAAAGATTCCCATTGTTGGAAACTAATTTGAATGGATTTCCTGATGTTGGTACAAGCCAAGCGAATACATGAACATAAAGTAATGTCAAAATCATGTATTTAATGCTGTGAGTGCATTAAGTACGTACAGTACTGACTCAGAAAATATTTGTTTGTTTTGGTCTGATATTAGTAGTATAGTATAGTTTTTTGTTTTGTTCTGATTTGCTAATGAATTTGACTTTCAGATGTCGATTGTCGATTCCGGTATTGAATAATAAATGATTCACTTGTTCTGTTGCGATTTTGTGAAAGATTTTCATTAGATAATAATGTATGCTCATCATATATTTGGGCCAAATAAAGTATGCATTTACCGATATCAATCAATGCAATACTTTTTTTGCTACACCTGTTGAATTCGATGTATTCATCGACTAAATCTATTTCATGATGCAACAAAAACGAGTTCCCAATTTTTCTCAACAAATACTCTTATTATATGTATTAAATGTTTTATGTAAAATTTTAATGGAAAAACGGTAAAATAATAAAAAATCAAAACGATATCTAATATTTTTTAATGATCGTAAACATGACTTTTGCAATCTACACTCCATTAAATGTTTACATTTAGTACAAATACTGAAAGCAATGACATCCATTCAATAGATTATAATTTACGCAAATGTTTATGCCAAATAAACATAAATTTCCATATGAAACTCAACATATCAACTCATCGCAATCATTATTAATATAAATAACAAGTGTAGTTACTACACACAACATATCAATCATTCTTTTATCACTTTGGGTAGTCATAAGTTTGTCAATTTCAAGTTGCGTTTAGTGAGTTTTTATAATTGTTGCAAATCAACAATAAAAAATACTCAAAAACTAGACCCATTAAAATGATGTATTCGAACAATTGCTCATTCTTCTTCTCTCAGTCGAAAAATTGACACCCTATTTGCTGGCCAGAGAAATGTAATCTGTACAGTTTAAGAATGCAAGGGAGGTGCTAAAAGTCATAAAATTGTCATGATTACTAAGTTACATGTTCATTCAATCATTGAATTTATGCTGCAATGTTTGCTTTCTCGAAATTCAAACTCATCGAAATCAATAAGTGAGACTTTCACTGAATCGAAGTATTAATTGTTATTATCCAATGGTGTTATTGTGCTTTCGTGCATTTTTGTAATGCACCTTCTGATTTTATGTAAATGCTAATTATTTTAATGAAGTAATTTTCTCGTTCATTTTATAATCAGAAAAAGAAAATGATTTCTAAAAATTGAATCAGTTTTAATCGAGTGAAATTATGTTGATGTTGTTATTGTGATATTTTAGTTAAAATATAGGTATGGCATGATCAAAAATATTTTGCTTAGAATTAACTTTGTACCCACAACAAAATTCTTTAAAATGACCTTGAGTGAGAAAGATGTAACCTTTTTGAAAAATCTTTTGGTTGAAATGAATTTGGATTTTGAAAATGTTGCCAATGAGTAGACTACTTTATTTTGACGACTGTACAAACACACATGCGATTACACCATATGTCGCTTATACTTTAAAAACAACGATTGAAGTATAGAATGATATACTATACTATGCTATATTTATACACAAAAATAATCAAAGAATCAACGATGATTTGTAAAACTTCATGTGATGTTATCAAGTGTTTTGCAGTTGCTGTTTATTGAATTCCGCTGTCAATTGTTTAGATGTTTGTGGCAATAAGCTATTAATTAATAAGCTGAGTGAAAATGTTTAAATTACCAAAACAAATAACAAATCCAGTTACCAAAATAGTAAAAACACATCGGATTGTGTTACAGCAATGTAGTCGAACGTTGTCTGCTGCAAATTTGTCTCAACAGACCCAGGTCTTTATTTTTTCCCATTTCAAAATTGATATTTATCAAATGAAAAATTATTGATTATGTCATCCGTAGCTCGATGAAAAGTTTCAAAAGATTTGGGAAACATCAAAACCATACAAATCCATACCAGGCCCAAGTATTCTGAAATTAATTATTGATAATTTACCTGGAGGTATGAGGGAGCATTCAATTAATTAATAATTCTTTAATAAATCAATTGGATTAAATGATGGACTGGATTTGTATCCGTGTACATCGATAAAAGAGTTAAGAAAAACATCTTTTATTTAAACTAGAATACATTTTTTTGTTAAGGAAAACAACTAGACAACGTATGTTAATGTGTTACAATTTGAAAAAATACAACTTTTGCAAAATATAATTGATTGGATTTAACTGCGAATGTATTATATTTCCGTTTCTAAGGAACGAGAACCCCGTTTTATTCGTTGCTATTTAATTGAGTACGCGGAATACGATTCCTGGTCACACATCTATTCCCATTGTTTAAATTGTTAACTCAAATCATTTGCTATATCCAAGGTTTTTTCATAACAGGAAAGTTTTATAAAGCTAAGTTGGCCGATCTGCATAGATCTATTAGAGATGAATATGGCCCAATCTCAAAAATTCCAAAAATGTTGGGAAATGAAGAAATTTTATTAATCACCGATCCTGTGGATTTCGAGTTGTTGTTCCGGAATGAGGGACAATGGCCAAATCGTCGCGGAATTTCAACATTTGATCATTATCGAAAAGAAGTTCGTCCCGATTTATTTAAAAATCAAGGCGGTCTCCTAAATGAACAAGGTGAACAATGGGGTAAATTACGTTCAACAGTGAATCCAATTATGTTGAAACCGGCCACCGTAAACGCTTATATTCCGGGCGTCGATACTATTGCTGTTGAATTTTGTGATCATATTAAAACACTGAGAGATGATAAAAATGAACTTCCCGCCAATTTCATGTATGAATTAAACAAATGGGCATTGGAAACGGTTGCCTCGATTGCCGTCGATCAACGTTTGCACATTCTTGACAGTCAAAAGAGCGACCAAACTAACAAAGCGAGCCAGCTAATAAAAGCTGTTGATGATTTCTTTACGCTATCATTCGAATTAGAAATGAAACCAAATTTATGGAGATATATGAAAACATCCAAATATAAACAGCTTATGAATGTCTTCGACACCATGACAGAGTATTACCGACATTTTATGTAATTAATTGAAATTGTAAATTGATTTTTTCTCATAATATTTACAGTGCAACACTATTTTTTATTGACGAGGCTATTGGGAAATTGGAAAATAAATCATCCAACCAAAACCGAGAGCCAAGTGTACTTGAGAAACTCTTGAAGATTGACAAACATGTGGCGATGGTGATGGCATTGGATATGTTTATGGCTGGTGTGGACACTGTAAGAGACATTATCGATGCCAATCAAATTGGAAAATAATTCATAAATTTTTTTCTTATTTGGTATTTAGACTTCATCAACTACGGCCAATTTAATGTATCAACTGGCAAAAAATCCAGAAAAACAAGAAGCATTGCGAAATGAACTTCAGAATTTACCTGTCGATGCAAATGGTAAGCTAACATCATCGACCTTTTTGAAAATACCATATCTCAGAGCGTGTATAAAGGAGACACTAAGACTATCTCCAATTGTTTCTGGAACTGCGCGTACTGCTGGCAAAGATATAGTAATCAAAGGATATCAAGTGCCAAAAGGAGTAAGAATTTACATAAATTTCTTCAATTATTTATGAAAATGTTACTAATTCAGTTTCGTAATTAGACTCATGTTGCCATTGCTTCCATGATATTACATTATGAAGATCATCTGTTTAAAAATGCAAGTGATTTCATGCCGGAACGCTGGCTCAATGAACACATACCGAACGCATGTCCAGAAGCAAAAGCATCAAATCCGTTTGTCTATCTGCCGTTTGGCTTTGGGCCCAGAAGTTGTGTTGGTAAAAGATTTGCCGAAATGGAGATTTATGTGCTGATGACACGGCTATTAGGAAAATATCGTATTGAATACGACTACGGACCATTGGAATATAGATATAGCTTTGTAATGTCGCCGACTAGTGATTTGAAATTCAAGCTAACGGAAATTTAAAGATTCCCATTGTTGGAAACTTGCGTTGTATAAATCTTAGCTAGCTGTGCAGATATATGGGGAAAAAAGTGTCATACTTTTGGACAGACATTTAAGATTCCTTTGTATGAATTTGCACAGCTTCAAATTAATTCTATTTTTGAGTTTCGTTCAGTTTCAAAAGACATTTGAATTAGAAATATTGTTTTTAAAGATTTTATGTAATATGTATTTGTTCGTTTGTTTTTATTAATAATTATAAATGTATTTGTGTGATTTTTAATGAAAAATGTACAAAGTGCCTGTTTTAAATTGTGAGTGGAAATAAATAAACTTCATTAAAATCAAACAAACATAAATGCATTGTCATTTTATTCTGATAAAAAGATGTTTGTGTACTTTTTTTTGCAGAAAAAGTTTCAAAAGATAGTGTTTCGTTTTACCAGTAAACGTATCCAACTGTAAGTACCGTTTGCATATGGATAAATTATATTCAGTTAGGGGTTGGTCTGTTCAGCCAATGACAGGAGGAAAGGATATCTTAGCCATTTTAATCTATGGATAAGACTACCAGTTTACAATATTTAGTTGATTAAATTGAAATCACTGTTTGTTTTATATCATTTTGAAATATCTTCACATATTCTTAATCTTCACATTTTTTTCGCCAAAATATATTTATACATTCATCACCTAATAACCGGTATTTATTAAAAAATAATGATCATGAGATCATAAAATAATGAAAAATGACGACATTCCTGAAGTGGCATTTGCAGCGAAAGGCAGCACAAGCAATCGGAATAAAAGTGATTTTTAAATTGTAACAAATTAAATTATCAACGAAATGTTTTCAACAAAAGTGGTGGTCAAAACATGGAATTTGACACCATTAAAACTGTATTATCGAGCATTTTCATTTGCGCACTCATATTCTCAGGTAATTCACATCGCTTGTCGATCTTTAAAAATTTAAACGATAAAAAGTCGACTTGTAGAACGAAAAGGATGTTCAAAGTGATTGGAAAAGTGCAAAACCATATCAGACAATACCTGGACCGAGTGTATTGCAAATGATTGCACGTTTTTTGCCTGGCGGTAAACGAAACGAAGAACTTTTGTTTTTATTCGATACAATAGTGAATGATTTCGAACAACTTTTGTATTTGTAGGAAAATATCATAAAATCGAATTGCTTGGATTGCATGAAAAATTAAAAGAAGAATATGGCCGCATTTCAAAGTTACCGGGCATGTTTGGTAATCAAGAACTAGTTATGGTTACAGAATCCAGTGATTTTGAATTGGTTTTTCGCACTGAAGGCAAGTTAAATTGAATGTTAAAATGTTGTTGGTTATTTAAAATATTGTTTGCTATCTATTTTCATTTGGAAATCAAGGCATTTGGCCAAATCGTCGTGGTTTCAGTACATTCGATCATTATCGAAAGAAAATGCGTCCCGATATTTTTAAGGATATGGGTGGCTTGGTGAGTGAACAAAATGAACGTTGGGCCAAAATGCGTTCGATTGTGTCTCCGATCATGTTGAAACCGGCCACAGTAAATGCATACATCCCTGACGTTGATGAAATTGCTATTGAATTTTGTGATCGCATTAAAGCGTTAAGAGACGATAAAAATGAGCTGCCCGCCAATTTCATGTATGAATTGAATAAATGGTCACTTGAATCGATTGCATCAATTGCATTAGATCAACGGATGCATATTCTGGATAGCCGAAATGATGATCAAAATAGTAAAGCAGGTCAACTGATCCGAGCTGTTTATGAATTTTTCACATTGTCATTCGAACTTGAAATGGTTCCATCGCTTTGGAGATACGTTAAAACACCGAAATATAAAAAACTTATGAATGTTTATGATAACATGACAAAGTACTGCATGCTTCTTGTTGCTGTTCACAATGGCATTGAAAAATTAAAATTCTTTGTTTATTTTATTTTTCAGTTGTACACTGTATTATATTGATGGGGCGTTGAAAAAATTGGATAAAAATTCGAATGCGTTGAATCAACATCGTGAGCCAAGTGTTCTTGAGAAATTATTGAAAATTAACAAAGATGCGGCAATTGTTATGGCCATTGATATGCTTCTTGCTGGCGTTGATACTGTAAACATTTGCGATTCATTCACCGTTAATCAGTATAATCAAATTTGTTCTCTTCCAATTTGAAGACGACAGCAGCGACAGCCCATATTTTATACTACTTATCGAAGAATCCAGAGAAACAGGAAAAATTACGCGATGAACTTCAGCATTTACCAACTGATGTGAACGGTAGATTGATGCATAAAGGAAACACTGAGACTGCTACCGATTACACCCGGAAATGTTCGAGCTTCTGGAAGTGATCTTGTGATTCAAGGCTATCGAATTCCAAAAGGGGTACATCATTTTTTTGATATTTTGAATCATTTTTTGATATTTTATCTTATTTAGACCGATATCCTAATGGCAAACATGATATTACATTATGATGAGAGGGAGTTTAAGAATCCGACTGAATTTATGCCAGAACGATGGCTCAAAAAACATATACCGAACGCTTGCCCAGAGGCAAAAGCATCAAATCCATTTATTTATTTGCCATGTAAGTTTGCGATGTTTATTTTGTGCAATATTCTTTTGTTATGATTTTTCTGATATTCTCTGGTTAAATAGTTGGATTTGGACCACGATCATGCATCGGACGACGATTTGCTGAAATGGAAATGAATGTGTTGCTCACACGATTATTGACGAAATATCGCATTGAATTCCATTATGGTCCCCTGAAACATAGGCAAAGCTTTGTTCTTACACCGGTTAATGATTTGAAATTTAAACTCAACGAAATTAAACAGTGATAGGCTTTCACTTTTCAAGTACTATTTGTCGTTATTCAATTTTTTATGCATTTTTCTAGTTTTTGATTTTATGTAAAAATAAAATTATTGTTGAAAAGTAGTGAAGTAATTTTTTTCACTGGTTTATTTTATAATCATACTGTACAATTTCTAAAAATTGAATCAGGTTTTAATATCGAATGAATGCAAAGACCTTGAATGAAAAATAAGTGACGTGTTTGAAAAAGTGTTAGTCGGTTTTTAACGAATTATATACGAAATGTACATATGCAAGAGCGTAAATCTGTCTTAAGATTCTTTCCAATTATTTTAATTAAATAATTTATCAAAATAGAAAATGAATATAGTGTTTTTTAATTTTCATTAAAATTGAAAAATTCTTATTCAAAATTGAATATGAAAATTGATGGATGCAATGAATCACATTTTTGGCATGCCCTTGTTTTGTACCAATTATTGAAATCAAGTTCGCATTCAAATGAATAAAATACATCATTTATGTGGATCAATTTGACTTTTATTACCGGCGGTGGCTGTTTTACAAAAAAAAAACGTATATGCTTTAAGCTAATGTGGTCAGTCGCAAGATTATATCATGAAACAAGTACACGTACTAAAGTGATTCGAAGTGAGTGCAGTGCTAAAAAGTATTTCAATGTTGAATAATACAATCGAGTGAGAAACGAACGAGGAATCTATTAAACTTGTCTAACTGTTGATGTTATCTCTGGTTTTGCATTGATGTGGCTTTATGTTGAATACCATTTGTATGGAAAAAGTAAATCGAATCAAGCTGGGCATGTGTGCGTTGGATGGGATCAAGACCCTCACAAAAATCGTGAGTGGCGAATTTCATTATTTTTTTCTTCAAGAATAGCTTGCTTAATTAAGATCACGTTTTGTTCAATTTTATATTGTTCAAATATTCACATGCGAGAAAGTAACGAAAAAGCTTTTAACTAATTTAAATTAAAAACAAAAAGATTTTTGACCGGACACACATTTGAAGTCGGCGAAATTAATAACCTATTTATTACGTCCAGGCGTATGATTCATTTGTATATAAAAATATCAATCAATCGAATTACATTAAACACTTTAAAAAATGTTAAACTGGTGGTGTGTGTATTATTTAATATATATTTATTTATTAAAATATAAACAAATATTTGGATGAATAAAATGAGAGTGAGAGAGTGAACTACTGTTTCAATCAATCTTGGTTTCAATGACTAGCTCATTATAATGTGTAGCGCTCTTTGACTGGAGCCGAGGCCAACGTGACTCAAAACGGAATTTCCTTTGTGCTAATTTGGGATGAAAATGACAAATATTTTATTTAAATTGTGTATAATTTGAAGTCAAGTCCAAAGTGTTGAACGTATTAGTCATCATATATATTTTTTTTTGTTACAAATAGTTTTAAAAGATGAAAGTAAATTAGTTTTAATTATGCATAAACATAGCAATCTAAAAGAAATTCATCATTGATTTGATACGGATACAATTAGTGTAAATTGCTGTTGAGTAAAATTGGCTTTGACAAAGTGTCAAAATATAAAATGAAGCGTATAGAAAATCCATAGCAAATTGCGACAAATGCGAATGGAAAATTAAAAAATGGAGCGCAAAATAATAATCAAAGGACCATACATAAACACATGCGCTAAGCGCCTCGTTTTACATTATTACACATATTTTTCGATTTCATTTTTTTTTTTAGTTGTGTTTGACTGCAATTTTAGACAAAATGACCTTAGATCAAAGTCATCAAAAAAAGGTCATTTCACTATCTTTGTTTCGCGTAGCAGCAATGATCCATGCGAGTGTTTGGTGTGTGCGCCGATGGATTTTTGTTGTTGTTGTGCTGAATGCTGAAATGTACGTTGTGCATTCGATGCTGTTCGATTGAATTGTATGGATGGGAGCACGATAATGCTTCACCGTTATTTATTGTCATATACACAGAAACAAATCGAATGGCATATTCTTTCGATGATAGCACTCTGTATTGATAGACAGAGTGAATAAGAGAAAGAGTGTGAGAGAGAGAGAGTGAAGTGAGACCGAGGTGTAAGTAAGAACGAATTGAAATGCAAGTGTATGTCAACCGTACACAGTCCGAAAAGCAAAAGAAAAAAAGCGAAGAAGAAGAAAATTTATTTCGTATTTGTGGACAGAACGAAATATAAAATATACCGAAAAAAAAAAAATAACGAAAAAATCTTATCATAATATTTTGTCAGTCTTTTGTTGAGTGCTCGTTTGTATGCTGTGAGCAAAACTTTTGATTCGGCTTATTATTGAAATTTAATTGCAAAAATTCTCCATCAATTTACATCGATCCGTAATCAGTTTAGATAAAGATAATTTCGTAGTTTTATTTTTATTCAAATCGTTCATTCCTTGTTTGTAAGGTGAGTTTTATAATTTGATGTTTTGCAAAATATTGTGTGATACGTTTTGACAGCCACCGCAACGAGATAAAGAGAGAACCAAAAAAAAAAATGGGCATTCGAAACGCTAATTTCACTGTAGATATTTAATAATGGTTGCCATTTTGCATTCATTTATTTTTCGTTGTTGTTTTTGGGTCTTTTTTTGTTCGTTGTCGTCGCTGCTGTTTTTGCGAATTCACTATTGGCTTCATTACTTCATCAATTCGATAGGTTAGCAAGTTAACTTTTTGTTTCTTTTTCTTTTCTTTTCAATAATTATTTCTTTTTTTTGGTTTCATTTACATTTTGCATTGAATGTACCCGCACAAGAAGAACGAACACACAAGTGAAGCATTATAAGATGGGCAAAATTTTGAAATCAAATAGTACAGCGAAAAGTCCACATGAAACACGTGAAAATAATGATACGACATTGCAAACAAGAATGCATCGTGTTGCCGTTCAAATTGCCAGTTCGAGCATTGGTCAAACGATGATGATGCAATTCGATAAATTGCTGTGGACTCTTGAAAAAACAGCAACATGGATTTCCAACGGTAAAACGGGTAAGTTATTTTTGCTTTTCATATCGTTCAGACACTTGACGCACCCAAACAATAATTGATTACAACACACAACTAGCGGCGACCGAAAATTGTTTTGGCACGCGAAACTATGCGCGAAATGATATAAACGTTCTGCTCTAACGCTTTGACGATATGATGGGGCTACTGCGACTACTGTGTTGTGTATTCGGTTCGGCTTTTTTTTGTTTTTGTTGATGTTGTTGTTGGTCTCTTATTATTGAAATATTTACGGAATTCAGTGCAAATACTAAACGGAAAACGATGAGATTAGATTAAACAATTGCATGCCTTTTAAAGTATCGGCTGTTCTATGTTTGTTGTTGCCATTTTTGTGTTGTGCTGTTGACATTCTCAGTGTGATGAATTTTAATCGACATTCTTATTTGCTCACAACCGCTCACAACTCAAGCAGGCTGGCCAATATTTTGATTGAGTCATTCCACATGAATAGAGTATTTAATTATCAATTGTATCGTTATGAAGCTATAAATGTAAATTTGAAAGAAAAAAAAAACTTGTCCAATATATTCATTTCACATAATCGTTGTAGACAATTAATCGCTTCACCAGAATCAATAGGCATAATAGTAAATAGGGAAAAAATTAATCAACCATCCCATCGATTTCTCGTACAGCAATCGAATCGAAGGTATTCACGTACACAATGCACACATTATAATAACGGCAATGCAATTTAGTATGACGATGCGGAATATAGTTGTTTGCTGTTATTGTTGTTGCTGTGGTGTGATATTCTTGTTTTATTCAGTTATGATCGGCTGAATTGTTTAACACAGACTACATGACATGTACAATGTTTTTTATTTTAATTTTAACATGATTTTTATTTTTACCTTCTCTCATTGGTTCACGTAATTTATATTTTATTGAATTTATTAAAGGTGATGGAAAAAGAGTTAAAACATCGATAGGTTTGGTCAGACCGCTTCCGTGGGTCTTCTTTTTGCCAACATTGGTTGCATTACGTTTTGTTCGGGTTGTATTATCATTGGTTGCGATTTGTGTTGGATTCGAAGAGATTGAAGCTTCAATGATGGTATCATTTTTACATAAATCACGTCGCAATATGCGGCACATATCGGTCGAAGCAAGGAGAAATAATAAATCGCAGATATCATGTGCCGATTATGTCAAACGAATCACATTAACATTACTAACGCAACTAAGTAATTTTATTTCCCAAAATCCAAACGATACAACCAACAAAACAACCAACAAAATGAAGTACAACAATAAAACAGCGGTAATTTGCGATTGATATATCGACGATATAATAGTTATATCGTATGATTGAATCAAACATAAAATGACAGACACATATTATCCACTTTGTTTTATTTTATTTATTGTTTAAACAGTTAAATGCTCTTGTCATCACTGAGACTGAAAACGATGATCAAACAACGTCACAGAGTGAAGAGAGCGATTTAGAAGAAAAAATGTATAGGACTTTTCTCAAAGCTGAACTTGCATCGTCCGATTCAGATGATAAAGATTACATATACGATGAGATGTCGAATGAAGATAGTGAAACCAGCGCTGCTACTGATGATTTTAGCGACGATGATTTTAAATCATCGTCCAATGAAGTAAGTAAAAAAATTCCATTCTTTCGATATTTGATGATGCAATGAATGTTGTTTATTTATTAGGCACCGTTGAACGGTACAAATGGCAGTACAGTACACTTTGCTGATACCAATTATTCGGCAGATACAAGTACTATTGCCGTTGTTGATCCACCACAGGAAGGTAATTCGAATGTCATTGAATTGAAAGGGATAATCGTGTTAATATATCATATTAAACTAGATTTACATGATGATCAATCATCGGAGAAGGAGAATGATGGCCAAATCGATGCATCGGACCGATTATTTCGCGAAGGGGAAGATGCCAAAGATGGTTCACAAAATCGCGGTAAAAATGTGAATCGTACGCATAAAAATGGCCGAAATCATGCTAAGAATCACAACAATGGCAAACAATTTAATGGTGCACATGGTCAGGCCAAAAATAAAACAGCCGCCAAACATCATCAGGTCGAGTCAACAACTGATTTTATTGCTGATGCTACTGCAGCCGATCGTACATGAAACATTCAAATGCCACCGTACAACAACATTAATCATTTGCGTTGAACGAGATTTTTTTTTTATTATGGTTAAATATGGTTAATGTTTGTATCTTTTGTCGACTATTTTGTTTTTCATTTATTTCATAATTTTTATTCGTTAACAACATATCGTATATTTGTTCCATCTATTTGATAGAACGGTTTCAATTTGTAAGAGCTTGAAGATGAAAACAATTAAAAATAATAATAATACAAAAATAGTCCAGTCGCAAACAGCATAATAATAAGGAAAAAATAAATTGAAGGAAGAAACGAATGAAATAAGTTGGAATGTAAATCAGTTTTGGAAGAAAAAAACCAACACAAAAATAGAACAAAACTGCAGGACAAAAAATGAAATGTAAAACATACAATGCAATTCAAATTACGAGTTCACGTGTGACACATTCATATGAACAGTTTAGCCGGTACATACATTTAGAATTGCATAAAATTTATATTCCCAATGAGTCTAGAAAAAAAAATGCGAACAGAAAAAAACAACAACTATAAGTTTCAAACACAGATTTTTTTCGTACACACCTTTTGTCAAGTTTGTTAGTCAGTGTAAGCACATAATTTAAAATTCAAATTGAATAATTGTTACGAAACAGAAAACGCATATACGCGCCTACATTTAATAAAAAGATTACATATACTATAGACCCATTATTGTTGTTATTGTTATAGAAACGGTTGTGTTGAGAGCGTTCGCATAAAAAAGCGGCTGCACTGCATTTCATATGGAATTCACACATGCATTTTAACGGAATTATGTGTCACGACAATAGGTCGTTCGTGTGCTTGGAAAAACGATTCAATTTTGCCTCACAATGCGATTGAATCGTAAGCCATTTAGCTTTTCATCGTCATCATCAGCAGTAACAGCAGCAGCAGCAGCAGCAGCGGCAACGGCACACAAGTATTCCAGTTAAAAACATTCATATCTATTACTTGAAATGCGCATGGTCAATGTCTCTCGTTGTGCGTTGAATGATAGTGGGTGAATTTTGAAGGAAAACTCCAGTAGAATGCAATGAGAAATCGAAGTGACAGAGATAGAGAGTGAAAATCATAAATGGATTGTATGTCACATAAAATACCGAACCATACACACACCTTACACACATAGCAAAGTGAAATGGGATTCGGTGTGTGAGAGAGAAAGAAGGAGACACAAAATGACGACAGCCAGTCTATGACAGATGACTGACTAAAAAACCAGATGGAAAAACATGTACAGGCCAAATATCATGTGCTTACAATGTTCTTGCTTAAACCGATTTTGCAGTGAAAAATACGTTCTATCAAGGCATTTTATTACATGCATGTATGCGGGCACCATTACGCAAAAAATACACAAATTTCTATACAATATTCTATGCCCATATACCCATACACATGAATAAAATTGTAATACGTGCGCATACAATGCCATATCACAACGTGAAATTGTCGAGATTTTTCCCCGTATTGAAAAAAAAAAAAGAACGTTGCGGATTGAGTCTCCTGATATTGCTTTAGGCGACCGAATATTGTCGAATGGATTTTGACATTCGCGTGTGTGCGTATTCGTGCAACATTACATTTTTTGATGTTAGTGGTGTTATTATTGTTGTTGTTGTTGTTGCTGTCGTTATTTCTATGTATCTGCAACTCACCACTTGTGATTACACGAGAGGCCCATTAGTTTCACACCAAACTCGAAGAACGAAAACACTTACTTTTGAATTATTTGTTGCTCTTTCGTTTGATGTTTCACGGTTAATCGAAACCCGATTGAAATGCAATTTTCATAAATAGTTCTTCATTTATTTTGTTCATTAATCGATTTCAGTAAACGATCAACCCCCATCAAAACAAATAATTGACAAAAAAAAAAAAAATTGTGATGTAGTTTAAGTAAGAATATTCGTTAAAACAGTTGTTATACACATAGGAAAAGAGTGAGCACGAGAAAAATGCTAAAGATTGTTCGCACACACGTAATAACGAAATGGTGAATTGGTTTGATAATTTAAGTCGGTTGCAAATCGATTTTTGCAAGAATTTCTCTCGTTCCGACACAGAATTGTTGAATGAATCAGTGAATTAAGTCATTAATGTATTTGCTGCTTTTAAATTTGTTCAACAATTTTCGCTATTCATGTGATTCGGTTTACGTATGAGATTATGATGTTATGTCGTGTCACTCTCGTGTAGAAAACTCATTTAATTGAATGCAATCGTTTTGAAAATGTGTGTCTTTTTCTTTTTCATTTTTCTCTTTCTCCCCATTTTAATAGAGAGTTTTGAGTTTAGTATGATGCATTTTATTAACTGGGATCAATCGTGCACTGTTTGCATTTGATTATTTACGTTTTTAGCTGTTTCAAATCATCAGTCTGTGTATTTTTTTTTATATCCGTAGGTTATGTGTTGTGATGCTAAGTTTCGAATTAAATCAATTATATTTTGAAAAAGTCATGCAAACCGAAATGAAATCAACCGATAGTCTATAAACCGATAACAATATGAATTGTTTAGCGACAACATTTCTTAGATGGAATAAAACCATTTCCCACCAATTTTCCGATTGATGAATAATGGCGGAGAGCATTGAAACCGAATTAAAAGGTATGTAAATTGCATGGTTTTTCTATTTGTTCTGGTGTCAAAATGAGACTATACAAAAACAACAAATAAACACCAATTATTTATAATTTTTATTTTTGGACATTTATCAAATTAAAGTGAAATAATTATAATGATTGGATTCATTAAATGAATTCCATTTGTGCCGCTGAAAGAGTACGGTCGATTTTCAGCTCTTAATTAGAGGAAATTGTAAATAAACGAAACAACCGGATCGAATTGCTTTTTCCATTAGTCCATTTGAGTTTTGCGTAAAAGGCGCCCACCGTATTGACCATGTGCACACTTTTTAATTGATGGAGTGAGAGAGTTCATGCAATTTTTATTTTGGTCTCGAATATGGATTGCAAATAATGTGTGAAAATCAAAGTCACAAGGAACTTTGGTTTTCTCTGCCTCCCCTCTCTATCTCTCTCTTCCTCTCTGCGTATGCATATTAATTGAAATTGAACGAGGCATGCATGCGAAACGCTATATTCCTTGATCGCGTTTGTCATTGTTTTCCTATCGCCATGCGTGTGTATTTGCTATCAATTGAATGTTAATGTTCAATGTTAATTTTACCGTTGACAATATAGTATGTTAGATTTGAAAATATAGTATTTATATGGAAAACACGTTAAGCTCAACCATTTTATTCGTTCTCTCTTGGATAGTAACAGCGCATTAGTTTTTCTCTTTTTTTCATTTATTTCGTTTGACAATGTATTTTACTTTTAAAATATTCAATTGGAACAGCTGTTGTAGAGTGCATTAAAATTGAATTAACACTTAATAAAATGTATTTAATGCATGATGTGCTCTCAAATTGCAATTATGTGAATAATTCCTTGTGAGCCACGTCCATCGAGGAAATATCGGCTACGAGCCCAAATGTCATTGAAATTGATACAAGCGATACGTAAATAGATACTGAAATTAGTATTGATTTATAGATGCATAAATTGTTTATTGTATAGAGCATATGTATACTTGTTGATTGATTGATTTTTTGTTCGTATCGCCTCTCCTCTTACTTTCATGTGATGATGATGATCTTCAGACGAAAAAACGTCCGACCAAAGAGCGCATAGTTTCAAATATCTTAGTAAATCTGCATCGGAATTAGATAGCCGCGATAATTACACAAACAATATACCGCAACCAAGTCCATCACCGCAACGGAGTGGGAGAAGTGTGGCCGGTGTTTTTCAACGAACGCATGGATTTTTAAGCACGTTAAGAGTAAAATAGCACATCATTATCTATAAAAAAAAAAAAACAATTAAAATGAAACACATTTTTACCACATGAAACCAATAATATTGCAAATGATTATTTACAGCATCGTTGGTCGCGAGGGAGAAGCAAAGAAAGAGGATACCATGCACATGCACATCAGTACCATCAACAGCAACATAACGATGGTGAATTTCATGATAGCGAGGGAACCGATTATGCAGCCGATAATAGCTCCGATCACAGTAGTTCGGCAACACATTCACCAAGACACAAACCGATGTCATATGGCGAATCACCGTTGACCAGGATCAATTTATCAAAACTCGATAAATGTGATTCAATATCTAGTCAACATGATTCGGCTAGTGTCGACGCTGTAAGGTCGTCAATTTCCGTTACACAGGTGCACATTACTTACCTATTTTTTTCTTTCGTAAAACAAACAACACGCCTAATTCTTATTTTATAGAATCGTTTCATAATCGTTTGGCACACGATGGTGAAATCAATTTTGGACATTTGATATGAACATTAATTCGAGATAAATACCCAACACAAAAATTATAGCAAAATGTCCAATTCTTTTTTCGAAGCTTAACGTTTTAATTACCGTTTGCTACACATAGTGATATCGATATACCTCATTCTCGTGGGTATACAAATATATTTATTTCGGTAAAATTTATTTGGAGTTCCAGAGGCAAATGAAACTTTTTAATTGTTATTTGTACATGGTGTTAGCAGATTTTATTCCATTGGGCAACTAACAATTGTTGCATTGCATTGACAAAACCTAGGACAAAACAATTTTCACTTATTTTTTCTTATGTAATGATTTAATGTAAAAAAAAAGTGTTTTATGTTGAATTTTACAGATGCTACCGGGAAACAAATAAATCATTTCATGAAATGTGTAAAAATATACATTCGATTTCCACATTTCATTTCTTGGTTTTATTGCTAGCGACATACACACATATTACATTCAAAATTACATATTCATTTGGTCGATAGTGGATTTTTCATTGTTTTTGTCTTCTATCATTTCATGACAGTTTGAAATCAGTTCAAATTAGTCGATTGATAAAAGATATACATGTTTCTGACTTGATAGAAACCGAAAATTAAATATTCCATTTGAAAGAGAGAAAAAAACAGTCAACCATTCAATAAAACCGTTCGAATCAAGTCAAAGAGAAATGAAAAAAAACCACGGAAGAAGAATGACAGTCTCAAAAAATAGCACAAAAGAAAGTTCGGCGTAAAATAAATGTCATTTCACTTTTAAACGATGACCATTTTTATTGTTCTTTAGTGATTTATAATGTATTCAATTGTACAGAGTGAAATGGCCATATCATCCGCACCAATGACTAATTAGTTAATAAAACTCATTTCAATTTTGGGTGTTTTTTCTTCTTTTGACTTTATCATGTTCCAGGCTGAAGAACAACAGCGCAAGCGAGAGGCAACACTCAGGCAACATGTCTTTTTTCAACTTCGCATTCACTTGATTAGCGGACATAATTTAAAGCCAATGGATAAAAATGGTAAGATTTACATTGAATCCATAAATGTGTTGAAATGATTTTCAATTGAAAGTTTGTTCTGTTTTGTTGTTTTTGTTTATATTTAGGCACTAGTGATCCATATGTAAAATTTAAATTAAACGGGCGGCTGTTGCATAAATCGAAAACGGTGCACAAAGATTTGAATCCGGTAAGTTGGCTAAATGTGCGAATATAATTCGCTCGAAACTGTATTAAATTGGACGTGTCTTATACATTTTTGTTTATAAAACCTAGATTTGGGATGAGACGTTCATCGTTCCGATTGAAGATCCATTCCAAAGTATTCAAATTAAAGTGTTCGATTATGATTGGGGGCTCCAAGATGATTTTATGGGTTCGGCATTACTTGATCTCACAACATTAGAATTGTCACACGTTACCGAACTCATGATTCCGCTCGAAGACACAACTCAGCCCAGTGGCACAAACGCAACAAGTAAAAGTGAGTGTTTGCACTTATGTGTTTCCGCTATTTTGTCGCATTTGATGTAATCACATTTCTAACTGAACTGAAAAATTCCATCCCAAAAAAGTGTGGATCAAATTGAACGCAACACTGTGGCCACGCACACAAGAAGATAAAGAGCAGGTTAGTTGTCGTTATTTTGTCTTTTATTTTTCGTTGATAATTTTTGTGATTGAGTTAATTTTTTTTTCATCCGCCATGGCGGCGGAGAGTGTTGAAAAAAAGAAAGTTAAAAAAAAAACTTTTTTTTTGTGTGTTTGCCAGTATTTTCAACGTAATCCGCGTCTTGCCGAAACGTCAAAACGAATGAAATCGCAAATTTGGAGTTCGGTCGTAACAATCGTGTTGATTGAAGCTAGAAATTTGCCAAACGATACGGAGAATAATGTGTGCGAACCTTATGTCCGATTTCGCTTAGGAAATGAAAAATACAAAAGCAAAACCTCATGGCAAGCCCGATGGCTGGAACAATTTGACTTGCACTTATTCGAAGAGGAACAATCACTGGAAATAACGTTGTGGAATCGAAGCACACAATACGGCAAATGTATAATCGATTTGCGAAATTTTCCGCGCGAAGAAACAAAAAGCCTGTGGCATCGATTGGATGATACATCAACTGAAGTCTATTTAATGTTAACAATTAGCGGTACGGTGACGGTTGATTTTGAATTTTAAAGATGATGATGGCATCCGAATTGTAAATTGATTTTATGTGTCCCGTTTTCCTTTCGTTCATTCATTTTGACAGGAACCACGTCGTCGGAAACGATAACCGATTTAACGAATTTCAAACCAGACGAACATGAATATTTTTTAATTGAAAAGCGATACAGTTGGTTGAAAACATTTCAAAATATGCGAGACGTTGGTCATTTAACGGTTAAGGTATTTGGTGCTACTGGCCTTGCTGCCGCCGATTTGGGCGGAAAATCGGATCCTTTTTGTGTGCTTGAATTAATCAATTCACGACTACAAACACAAACGGAATATAAAACCCTATCACCAAATTGGAATAAAATTTTTACCTTGTAAGTAAATCGAATGTACAAATTGATTGTTGTATGAAAACATTGAAATTTTTCATTTCGTTTCTCGTTTCTCAGTAATGTGAAAGATATAACGGCTGTGTTAGAAATAACCGTGTTCGATGAAGATCGTGATCATAAAGTAGAATTTTTGGGTCGTGTTGCAATCCCATTGCTTCGCATTCACAATTGTGAAAAGCGATGGTACGCATTAAAAGATAAGAAAATGTTTGCACGTGCAAAAGGTACGGGCCCGCAAATTTTGCTCGAATTGAATGTTGTATGGAATCCAATCAGAGCGGCGATCAGAGCACTGGAACCACAAGAAGATAAGCTCGTTCAGCAAGAGACTAAGTTCAAGCGTCAGATATTTCTGCGAAATGTGACTCGCCTTAAATCGGTTGTTGTGTATTTTCTTGAGTGGGGCCGATTCATTCAGTACGTATCGGGTTAAAAGTGAAAAAAAAAAGATAGAAAAAATATAACCAAAATGAGAAGAAGAAAAATGAAGTTAACGTAACAAACAAAAATTAACAATATAATTGACGTTTTTATTTGAATATTCGTTTTGTTGTTCATTTTACACAACAGAAGCTGCTTTGAATGGGAATCACCGATACGATCGACGATCGCATTCATACTGTGGATTTGTGGTTGCATTTGGTTTGATATATCGACAATACCAGCAATTTTGATGATTATCATGCTAAAGTATGTTGAAAATGACATGAAGATTGCGTGCAATATTCAGACTTCACTTAAACTAACGGAATTAATTTGTTTCAATTAGAAATTGGTTCGTGCGATGGATTACGGGAAATTTATCAAATCAATCGGCTGACAAAACTGAATTTGGAGATTTTGGAAGTGATGATGAAGACGAAGAAGATAAGGATCGTGAGGAAAAGAAAACGATAAAGGAGCGATTACAAACGATCCAAGAAGTTTCACAAAGTGTTCAAAACACGATCGGTCGTTTAGCATCATTGGGCGAAAGCGTTAAAAAGTGAGCATATTAATAGATACGATTATTTATTTTTCTCTCAGTGCGCGCACTTCAATTTTGATCTTTCATGATTTTATCTCGCAAAAACTGTTTGTCTTTTTTTTCATTTCATTTATTCGTCTGTCGTTCTGCAGCACATTCAGTTTTTCCGTATCTGAACTGAGTTGGTTGGCCGTTATTCTGCTACTTTTGGCGTGTCTTGTTTTACATTTCATTCCGATTCGTGTACTGTTATTACTTTGGGGTTGTGTTAAGTTTTCACGACGTTTACTTCGTCCACACACTGTTCCGAACAATGAAATACTAGACCTGCTCTCTCGTGTTCCTGATGACGATCAACTGGTAATAAATATTACAAATCAAAGAGAGAAAAAAAGAACCGTTTTTTGTAAACTAAATATCGTATAATTTTTCACTTTTATTTTCTCGTTTTCGTTTCGCGCAGATCATGTACAGAGAAATCGCGCCGCACACAACTCCCGAGATGCCGAGAAGAGATATGCGAAAAAAGTACAAGGCTGCCTAACACTGTTGCAAAGCGCACTTACTGCAAATCGATCGCATAAAATGTATTGTTGACTTTGAACACGCACACATACAAATCAGTCATCAGTGGTATTTCCATACATCCCAAATAAGACTAAACAAAAATACAAACAAACAAAAAAACAACGTTTTTTTTCGAAATTTTCCTTTTTAAATCAATATATTTATTCATGTTCCGAAGATTTATCTATATATTATCGAATTTTTATCAAAGTTCCAACATTTCATAAGCAAATCATTCTAACTTCACGAAGAAATGTTTTTTCGAATTCTATCAACACTTTTAATGTACAATCTCCGTATCTATATGAATAATAATCAGAACATTTAATTTCACCTATCATCTACCGTGTCTAACAAAGAAATGATAAATTCAAGGCGAAACACAAACCGAATACTAATTTTATGGCCTATGGTTTCCACATCCCTTTAAAAAATCCTATGTCCAACTGAACGCTTTTAACACCTTATCACATCAAACAAAATATATCTACTATACAAAAAGAAAAAGAACCCTTTATGAGCACAGCTTTCTCGAATTTCTCCGAATTTTATAGAATAAACACACTGTTATTGTAAATACGAATGAAAAAATGAGAAGGAGAGTGAAAAATACACAACATTTTTTTTCTTGTACGCTTATACTAGCTCTTTACGCTTAAGTAGCTTACTAAATCAACGACAAAAAAAAACAAACAAACAAAGTTAAGGAGAGAACCTGTAACAATTTTAGCTTCACAATGCTTATAGTTATTTCGTCAATTGTTAATACAAATTAAGAAAAGTAGCCAATTTCTAACAGTTTAAATTTATAGATAATTGAATTTTAAGCGTCAATTCTGAGTGAACTTCACAAAAGATGAGAGAAGAAAAAAAAAAACAGACAAACATTATTTTAATTCAATCAACTAATGAAAGATGCCTTATTTCCGTTTTCACTGATTCAAACGTCCAATTAATTTTTTTTAAATGTGAAAACTGACAAAATTAAAACAACACCACTATAAAAATGAATGAAACCAAAAAAAAATTATGGCATTAAGATAAATATGTTGAGTTTGTTATAATTTAAATGGGGGAAATAAAAAAAGATGACGAAAAAATTGCGATTTTGCAGAATGATTTTTACGAAATATGACTAAAAATGGCACTTAGAAGTGTCGCGCACATTGAAACTTGACACTCAACGCAACAAACATATAGAAATGTAGCGCACGCGCAAATTTAATGAGCAAATCATTTCGGTTGCATGTTTTTTCATGATATTACGCTGACTTAGATCTTAAATTGCATTCATTAAAAACAAATCTAATTTTTCGCACTTTTTTCTACTTTTGCATTTTTAATGATTGTCGCCCTCGATTTGGCTCTCTGAAAAATATATGACACCACCTTTAACTAAATGACAACAAAGAGCTACTATTTAGTATTTTCCATTGAAGGCAGTTTATGCAGAAATATTTTTATCAATTTTGTTTTTATTTTCAACAAAACAAAAGAAGAAAAAAATGTTCTATATGTGTGTGTTAATGAAACTTTGTTGCAATGTACATAAAAAAATTTAAATTTATACATAATAATATTTTAATGCAAATTTAAATTGAATAATTCGAATTGCAAGAATTGTAAGAAGCAGAGGAATAATAAACAACAACAACAAAAAAAATCGATAAAATATTTTACAATAACAATGCAACGTACAAAATACGATATAATATATTATTAATAACAAGATCGAAAGACAAATAAATCACCTACAGACACACAAACACACATGCCCATTACCTTGCGATTCAATCATCATGAAAAACAATTTTCTCTTTTCATTTTTCTTAAACACAAATACACACTCATTCACATTTTTCAGTCAAACACGTTACCATTTCAGAGTCAATTCACATACCAAACACACACACACACACTATCACATTCATCTCAATCGAGTCTTTTTTGATTTTATCTTTCCGATCTGATTTTGATCTAGAAATTTTGAAGAAAAAAAAAACCAACAACAACCAAAAAAAACCTAATATTGTTATTTTATAGACAATTTACAAATGTTAAATCAAAATTTAATTCGTCATCCCGTTTAAATGAATAAATAAATGAATTTCTGAATTATATCGGCTTATGACTAACGCATTTCGCTATGATTAATGTAGCGATCACTTTTTTTCCGCAGAAAATGCTACAATATTTTCTAGCCGGCAATGAGACATATTTGCATTTGAGTGGACAAGCGACGAAAATGGTCGAAACGGATTCGTAGTAATATTTCATCGACAGAAGGAATGTCGACAGGCCACAGACAAGCAGACCAAATATTTGTAACAAGCGTAAGTAACTTTTGTTGTTGTTTTTTTTTGCGTTTAAATTTTGTGTGCGGGCACCTTTTATTTTTGTACACACATTAGCCGATTGCCGATACAAACGCATTTTCTTATTCGTTATTCGCATCAGTTAAGCGATTTCCACCACATCACGCACCAGCACTCACCTCACCGTCATGTCTCTCACTTACTGTATTGTGTGCACAGAGCGACCCAACTTTCATAGCGCCATACAGTTTGTCTTCGCTTCAGTTATAATTTGGCCGCGAAACGTAATGCACACCGAATCGGATGAATAGAAATTCTTTTCTGATTTTTTATTCGTTATATTTTACCATCGTAGTTGTTGTACCCACTGCGTTAACTATAATTTAATACGTAGTGTAAATTGATCTAAGACTTTACCGTTGTATTTTTAATATTTTGTATAAACAAATCGAACAAACAAATTTCTTATCATTTTATCACAAAGAAAAGAAGCCGAAACAAAAGACACATACCCTTTTTTTTGCATAATTGAAGCGTTGGGGCGGCATTTAAAAACAATATATTTCACTCTCACCTGTGCGCTAGTTCAGTGTCTAACGTGTGAATTTGTGAAACATTTAGTTTATTGAAATTTTCTCTTTCTGTCGAGAAGATTCATTAAGTAGTTTGAGAGAAAAGAGCGTCAAATTCGACGTGAGCAGCCCAAAAAAACCGTGAAATAAAATAAACCGGAAAAAGTAGCTGATTGCAAAACAAAAGTGTTAACATAATAATGAAATCTACTAACTGACCATTTTTCACGGATAAAATTATAAATTGTATTTTTTTTTCATTCGCTTACCCTATTATTTTATAACTCGATTTAATAATTTGGAAAATTAAAGATTTTATTTGGTAAGTGTGACTGTTTTTTTTTCACATTTCTTATTCTTAAGTTTTAACGAGAGAGATAAAATTAATAAGACATTTGTAAAAATTGATTTGAGAGGAAAAAAACTGAATTTGAGATCGATCGAGAGAAAAAAAGGCAGACAAACAAGATTTCGTGAGTTTGAAGAAAAGATGATCACCGTCTGATGCAGAGCATGCGCACACAGAAAATTTTCCGAAGAATCCATTCATTTACCGAAACGAAGCATAAAAATCCAAAAACAAAACAAAATCAAACCAAACAACAACAAAAACAAAAACATTTATGGTGCACGACATGTAGAAAGAAAGAAAGAAAGCACATGAAAATTAGACTATCGGTTTCGCTTGAATCGTTTTTATGCTGTTAATTCGTACGTGCTAAAATGGAATTAGTTTTATTATTCAGAGTATTTTTTTCATTCTGTTTCGCTTGACTTTGATACTGTTGAGCTTCATTTTAGATAAAAAGTAATAACAGAAGCCGAAGTAGAAGTAGCAATAGCAGCACCAGCTAAAATCGTAAGCAGAATAAAATCGTACACATAATGCTATGATTCGAAAAATGCCTATAAATATCAATATCTCTATAATATAAATAAAATCATACTTTTTGCATTGGGCATAGGCTGGTGCCTGGCTGTTGCACGGCTGATGGTCATAAAAACAAACTATTTGTTATAGAGCCCAATTAATGGCTTTCGTTTTGTTTTTGGTTTTCTGCATCTCTCGCTGTCCCATTCCTCTCTTTTTCGCTCTATGTGCTGCTCTTTTAATTCTCTTTTGTCTGATTATTATGAACGTTATTATCATTTTTATATTTTTCATTTCAGTTGAAATTTTTTATGAATTTCAGCGTGTGTGCGCTTTTTTTTCAATCTCGCATGCTTCTTCTTCTTCAGTCTTGCCTCAATATTTTTACCTCGTTCCGATAGCACGATGATTCTTAAGCATATGTTTTTTTTTCGTTTGATGTCATTATCTTTCTGTGTGTCTGATTGTCTTTCGCTGTGCTAGCAATTGCGGACCTAGTTGTGAAACCAGCGTGTTTGTCATTAAACTCAAATGAATGGGCAAGAAATGAAGAAAGGCGAACGAAATGCTCTCTCGTCTCACAGAAGTCTCTCTTTCTGTTCCGACATCCATAAAACGAATTTATTGCCAAACGTTTAATAAACACCGGCATAGAATTATAATTTATCGCTTTTCCTTCTGTGTGCGAAAGAAGAGAAGAGGAAAGAAGAGAAAAAAAAACGAAGAAAAATGTACCATCGCAAGAAGCGAGTAGAAAAACAAATCCATCACCTGTGTGTGAATAATCTGCATGTCGTAGAAAATGTGTTACAAACGATCTCGTCATATCTACTTGTGTGCATCGAACGCTTTCCATAAATGATTAATTTTTATCTTTGGGTCTCTTTTTTCGCGAAAAAAAAATATATTTATAGATGGTAACAGGCAATTGGCCTGGCAGCATTCGTAACAGCACCAAATATGTATTGTTACATTTTTGCACAATCTCTTGTTTGTTTTTCTCTTCAATCTTTCGCCAGTGTACGACACGCGCGCACGCGCTTGCGCGTACAGAATGTAGCGACAAACAAACCGCAAGACGAGAAGAGAGAAAAAAAAACTCACAGTTGTAGTAATAGAGCCGATAAAAGACACATAAACAAAAATGCGTCAAGTGAAATAAAAACCCGAATAAAGAAAAGGAAAGTATTTTCGATGACACATTCAGACTGCATCAACACCTTCAGCATCGACATCGAGCATATGCACGAAATACCACATATAGAAAATTACAATTTACGAATAAAATTTAAGATAAAAAAAAGTCAACAAAAACAACAACAAACAATATTAAGCGTATTTTCGCTTTCAATCGAAACGGATTGTCGGTCAAAACCCGTTCAAAAATCTCCATCTTCTCACATACCATGCATATTTAAACATGCACGAAATGTGAACCGTTTAAGGTATGCGAAGTGTACCTTTTCTCGGTCGAATATATCTAGAAGCTAAAACGCAGAAGCAGTAAAAGTGATTCGAATGAGAGAGGCAAAGAAAAAACCGTTCGACACTGAATTTCTTTCTCAAACAAATTTGTCGAAACTGAATATATTTAATTTGCGCTCATTTAATCTTTCCTCATTTTGATTCGCATGTCATTTTCAGTTTGGCATCTAATAACTCGGTGATCGGCCAAAAGAAAGGTGAAATGAAGTTGAATATGAAAATATTGTACACCCACATACATGTATACACATCAACGATTCGATTGTGGTCAAAATGCGACGTAGATGATCATGACAAAAATTAAAGAGAAAAGAAAAAAAAGTGCCAACGACAAAAAAAGACTTCATTAACGCGCCAATGTAATTGGCTATTGTCATAAGACGTTGACACATCAAAGGCGTTCATTATATTCGATGGTTAGTTTTTTTTTAGTTACCTTCATATTTCTTCGTCGTCTTTCTTTCAAATCGAGTTCACTTTACACCAAATGCCAAAGCTCATTCGTCCATCGTGGCGATGATACACAATGGCTTCGTTTCTTCGTTCAATTTTGTTTACGCTTCGCAAATGAATGTGCACACGGTGCCAACTTACAACACTAACTCGAATATCCCATCATGCACTGTGTACAGGCTGCTTTCAATGAATGCTGGCTTTTGGAATTTATATACGCATTCGGTTTAGGTAATTCTATTGTGCGTGTGAAATACGTTAAGCAAATAGAATTTCTCCGCGCACCGTGCCGATCTCATCAATTTGGCGAGCATGAAAATTATATGAAATTTCATACGATTCGATTTGCTTTGAAAATTCCACGAATTCGGAATTGGCCGTACTCAAATTGGAATTCAACAAATCAAGAGAAAAAAAAACAAACATTGAAAGAAAAGGGCTGATCCACAAACATACACATACAGAATTGCATTAGTAAATCACTTGGGCAAAACAAAATAGCAAAGCAAACAGACAACAAAATATGAAACATCAAAACTATCGCTAAAAGCAAACAAAATTATACATTTTGAATAGGATGCACATACCAGCCAGCAGTAATGACGGATAATTTATTTGAATAGCTCGACCATCATTATTTCGTTTTTTTGTAAATAATTTAATACGTATAATGTGCACAAAATGCTTTGTGTTTTATTTATCTATTTTGATTTTAGACTTGTCTTAACTCAATCTATTTTTTTTCTTCACTTTTTTTCTGGTTGTTTGTTGCTATTTTGTTGCCGTTCACACACACGCACACAGGGGAAATATGAAGCGAAAAAAAATGTAACTTAAAAAGTAAAACGTTTTCCGTATGTGTCTCATGAAAATAATCATATTTGCATATTTCATGAGCACGTCATATGATATTAGTTTAATGTACTTATTCCTGCTTGTCGCTCTCTGTGCGTACTCCTCTCTTTCCATCGCCTTTTATTACATCTGTTTTATCTCGTTGCAAGTGAACGAGAAAAAAATAGCAACGAACTCGCAAGCACTTATGCTTTTGAATAACTTTCATTTTTCATCACCGAATAGTTGCCGAGATCGAGTTCGAACATGTGCGAGCGCGCGCACTCACTTGCTCACGTACATTGCTTATCAATTCTTTATATATATATATGCATGAGTGTACACAATAAGAAGCGCACGCATCGTAATATGGAAAAAGCGCGACCAATAATGCCGAACGAAGAAAGCGAAAAAGGCCACACTGCATTATATGTTACTTACACCTTACGTACGCACCAATGATGATGACGACGGAAACAAAAAGAGACGATCATAAAATATGTCAATTAATTATATCATTTTTTGTTGTTGTGGCGAAACCAGTTTTGACGCACATAGTGACTGCGACTTGTGCTTTTCTTGTTTACATATTTCGATCATTTAATTATTGGGTTGATGTTTTTAATGATCAATCGGAAGTTGCTTACGCTTCATGTAAAACGAGAAATACGAGAAGAGATCGAAAAATGCAATTTAAAAATTGGAATTGGAGCGATTAATCTATATATTTTTCTGTCTGTAAGTGTCATGTTGTTATGAGAGTGGCTTCACTCGTTGTCGCTTTACGCACATTACAAATGTGGTCATGCGCAATTGTGGCATTATCGATAAACTATCTAAGATATGCTGGTAAATTGTGGGTTTTTTTTTCGTCATCGTCATAGTTGGCATAAAATATATGTTATAATTTCAATTGAGTTGTGTAATATATGAGAAAACGAAAAATCTGTGCGATTGCATTCCGAGTTGATGTAAAATCCAGTATGAGTATATGTGATGATGACAAAATAAAAGCAAACCCATTAACAACAAAAACGTACACAAATAGCGAATTTTTCTTTTAAATACACACACAAAAATAGATATATTCAAGTGGCAAGCGACTGCATTAAGTGTTATATGCAATAAAAATAACGCACATGATGCTATTGGCTAATCCGCAAAGACGTTAGTCGGTGGAGAGCAAAAAGGCAACAACAGCAACGAAAAAAAAATGCAGCAAATGATTTAATCGTTTTGAATATTTTGCAATTTTGTGTAACCGAAACATACAGAGGCTTACTCAAGAGGCGACAGAAGTAAACATGCCACTAACAAAAATAAAACTGGTTTGCTGGGTGTGTACTCTGCCTGATTGCCTGCCGGAGTTGCCTGAATTGCCTCGGAGAGAAAGAGACTCAACTTTGGAGAAAGTAGAGAATTCCACATCTCGTCGTTTTATGTTAAAGAGATTTATCTGAAATTATTGCAATTTTTCGTGAACCTTTTTTTTTTCTCAATTTCTTCGTCATCGTCGTTGCTGTTCTCTTTCGCCGTTTTCTGTCCGCCAACCACAGCCAATTGCTTGGTGTTGTCGTTGCTGTTATTGTGGCCGAAATGGTGTCGATGCGCTTTGCCGCACCAAAATGGATATGCACTTGCCTATTTCACTTTATAAATATATATTTTTTTCTTCAAGCGAAGCGTGTTTAACGAAATTAATTTCTTTTATCTCATGTCTTCTGGGTTGATGTAACCGAAAGTCATATCATTGAACCAAGGTGCAATTTGTGTTCCGCAAAAAAAAAGAAATACGTTTACCATACACCGCATTTGGTTCAATCGTGTACCGTAAATCGAATCAATTTTGTAGTGGCTTATCTTTAGGTGTACATCTGATTTTGTAAGCTCTCTCATCTGCATAAGATTTTATTTTCGCACTTCAAGCGAATCGTTGTGTTGGTTTTTCAAAGAGGCGAACATTGTTTCAGTTTATCTTGGATGAAAGTGAATGAAATGATACGACCCAAGACGGAGACAGACAGAGAGAGCAAGAGTCACAAGGCAATTGTTTTATGCTTACGGATATGATTTTATTGTGTTGTAAAACAGTGCCGTAGCAATAATATTATATTTTGAATGTCAACATTTAAAGTTCTAGGCCTTTTGACGCTGTTTTATTGGAGGAAATTTTTGCTTTCTTTGGTGCACCATATTTTTTTTACTTTTGATTTATGTGCAAGTTTCAACATAGCTCACAGTAAAAAGGTACATACATGACATGAGAAATATTTCTAAATTTCTCTCTGCGCGTCACGCGCACTCCAAGCCGCTCACATATCGTTTTATGACAGCTGAGTAATTCAAAAAAAAACTCAATTTCGGTCCATTTATGTTATTTTCGGGTTGTAACACTTTTTTTTCTTCATAAATTAACACAAACAAATGATCGTGCTGATAAAATGGCTACAAATTTATTCTTAAGTAGTCTTGAATGTTGTTGTTGTTGTTTTTTCGTTTGTCGTGAATTAAAAATACATGTGGCGAAACAGTGAATGATGTGAATATGTAGTGAGATCAAGAAAGATAGAGAGTAACAACATCTTGCTAGCAATTTGGTGTATTGCTGAAATGATGCATGATTTTTGTCGCTTTTTTGTTTCTTCTCACTTTTTCCGCTCTTTTTTTTAATCCGTACTCATATAAATTTCAACGAGTGTTTTTGCGTCAGTTGGTATCGTAGCGGCGGTGTGATGTTAGTAGTACTTACTGTCATGTTTTATGTCTTAAATCTGAACTATAGACATAATTCAATGTGCACAACATAATTTTTTTTTCCTGTTCGCATACAGAATCACAAATTCAAATGTTTAAGCGCCGACTGACCGTCGTCTGGCGGTGAGTTCGCGCCATAAATCGTGTGGACTGTGTGTATGTGTGTATGGGTGCATGTGTAGTGGCGACAAGTCTTTTCTTTCTTTTGCTTCGTTTTTTTTTCGTCATTTATTACAGCTATTACTATTACCAGATCATTATTGTGGGTACCATACAATATGCATGCGTCGTGAGGGTAATTGATGAATTGAAGGTGAAGGGAATGAAAGTAAAATCAAAACCTTAAGCTTAAGAATAATACATAAAATTCGAAACGACATTGTGAAACTTTCATATGAAGACTGAAGAGGCATTTCATTAGTTCGTTCGTCGTGAGACGACGGTTGTACGTTTTATACACGAGCACATTGAAATGATTAAATTCAAATGTACATATGCACATTTATGAGAAGAATATAATACGCGGCATTAATAGTGAGCGTGCATCGTTCAGCCCAGACAATGAATGAAGTTAGAAAGAGGAAAATACGGAGAAAGAGAGAGAGAGAGAAAAAAGCCGAGCAAAGCACAACAAAAAAATCAGTCAAACAAAACAAAGCAACGCGAAGAAAGAAACAAGAAAAAAAAACTATGTACATACACATATGCCATTGCAATATCAGTGTACAATGATGAATACAATGTTTAATTTAACAGCTATGATACATGCTCACGGTGTATTGAATCTATTTGATCCAAATCTGTCGTGTCTTAAGCTGCTGCAGCTTGGTTTGTCTATCTAAAAATGGAATTTTTGTCATCGATCTTTATTGGCAACGAGAGATGTTAACTATCGAATGGTCGATACGCCAAGCATATACATTCGATTTGAATGGGGCAACCAACAACAGCAGTTCGCAGCAGTTGAAATTATGTTCACAATGAAAATGAATGAACGAACATAAAATAGCGGTGTGTCGATTTCATGCCAACGGCAAATTTAGAATTTGGTGAAACCGATGGAAAAAGCTTTAATTGATGTCAATTTGTTGTATGCGCGCGCTCACAATTGAATCAAACCGCAACAATGAATCGAAATAAACGAAACATTTTAAGAAAATCCATACCGTATCCAAAACAATGAGAAAATTGACAAAAAAAAGCACCAACAAACACACTTAAACACTTGAAATAAATAACCAAATGTGATGAAAAAAAAATGCCCCAGCAATTTTACATCTGCCGATAGATCTGCAGCCAATTTATGACTCATATAAAATAATTAAGATTGGAAAACACGCGCAAACAACTTCACCGCACAAAACAACAACGAAAAAAAAGCACGTCGAACACCAAAACAAACAACATACCAAATCATAACATGTGTAGCCGATTGCAACATATTCGAAATAGTCTCGAGCTTTTCATCGAGAGTACATGCATGTAAATCGAACGAAAATTTCAATTTTACTTCGTTTTCTTTTCTTTTTTTTTTTGTTTCTTTCAATCTTCTTTCTTCTCTCTCCATTCATTAATTGAAAATTAAATGAAAGAAAACCAAATAAAAAGAAGAGAAAAGTGAATGAGAAAAGAATGCGATTTCTTATTATTGCATCGAAATTAATACGATTAAGGTATGGCATTCTCATCTCTGTATTCCATTTCATATGATTGCAACATTGTTCTAGGTGTAAACTGAGTTTAATTTGCCTAATAATGTACGCTGAACAACAGCAATAACATTGACAGCCACCAATTGTTTTCAAAGATATAATGGAATTTACATATTGAAGTATGCCCACATCCACAAAAGAGAAGAAAAAAAACAAGCACTCGCTACTCGTAGCAGTGATTGCGAAACGGATTTCGGAAAGAATGCATATACTTAAAACATCATTTAACGCGTACTATAAATTCTTAGATATTTTTTTTCCTCTGATTTGTTTTTTTGTTATATTGTTTTGTCCAAGCGAGCAGAGGGGGCATGGACCATGAAATTCCGAAAACAAGACACACAACGACGATGATGATGACGACGTTTTTTTTTTTGCTTTCAATTTTACGAACTCAATAAGTGATTTCGTTCGGAGCATATGAGCAGAAAAAAAAGCGACGCCCGAATTGTGTTTTTCTTTTCATCGAATCTTTGCTCACTCTCGCAATCAGAATGAAATTTTTTTACAGAAAGTGAAATTGAATACAACAACATTCACAATAGCATCATAACCGCGATTCGAACACGTTTCATTTATATATATAAATATTATTGTGCTTCATGTTTGAATTCACCTCTCGATCGATGATTACATGCTATGCTTGTAATGCGAGTGCGAGCGAATGAGCAAACGAGCATTTCACTATAATTTACAGATAAAGCTAATATCTCAACAGAATCCGTAACATGAAATCGTAAAATGGTTTTCACGCAAAAAAAATAAATAAATAAAATAAAATCAATTTTTGTCGACATGAAACAATCGCATTCTTTTACCACCAAATGATACGGTTTAATGAATGATCGCGCGATTCATTTTTTTTTTCTTCACATTTCAATGGCCATTATCAATGGGCATCGCAAAATTCGTTTTGCACCTCATTTTTCTATATAAACATTTTTTTCGGTCACAATGGGATCGAATGTTTTGCATATGCCATCGCTTCGGATACTAAACATAATGGACACATCAGCATCTACAATAACAATAGACCGATGAGAAAAAAAAATACTTAAAATAGCATGATTTTCTGCTGTGTATGATAAAAGTCAATAAAATAAAGAAAATAAAATATTAAACGCAGCTTGAAAATATCGGACGAAAGAAAATGATTTTTGTGCTTTTTTTGTGTGTGAGTGTGTGCGCGCGGTTTCTCAATAAAAGATTCAAACTTTCTGAATCGTAAATTTAAAAGATAATTGATTTGCAAAAGTTATTTTAACAGCAGCAACAACAATAACAGCAACATCAACCACGTTCACAATGCTAGCGATCACAAATGTATAAAGTATGTTAATAATCAGTTAACTCGTAGAGATTTGTAAAAAAAAATCTCTCTTTCATGCGGTATTGTTGTTTGCGATGAATGGAAAACAAAGCAGCCCAAACCAAAAGCGCCGTGCACACACAATGTGTGTGTGTGTGTTTTTGAGTAGAGCGAGAATGCACGACATGAGCGCATGAATACAAAACTATACACCATAAAAAATAATTCAACTGAAAAATATTAAATTATTTGTTTTTTTTTTTTCATTTCGATCATTTTACAGCAAAACACCTGATCTATCTGCTTAAAAATAGCATAAGTACCATCTCATCACACATAGATTAGTAGGCCGGCTATTTTAGAGTTTTTTCTTCTTCTTCTCCTATTCTCAGCGCTTACCATCTACCTTACACTCAATCTTAGTGGTATTTTTCTCTTCGCTTTCTGGCTCTCAATAGCTCATCATTATTCTAGCGTTTAGATATTTAACTGGCGCTGATGTTGATGATGTTGTTGCTGCTGAATCGATTGTAACACTTATTGATATTTTCTGGTGATCGCGCACAACAGTTTGTCTAAATAATATGTGAATATGTGGGTTAGAAGGGCATTCAACGGTCAAAAACCTCTTTGCAAATCACTTTTATCTTCAAAATGTCGATATTCCCATCCGGTTGCCCATATGCTTTGCGATGCATATACAATATTTTTTTTGATGTGACGCACATGTATGGCGCGTGTGCGCTATTCACATTCACATTCGCATTCGCATTAACTGATAAATTAATAGATATTTGATTGTTGGCTATATTTATCAATGCTTTTATTGACCCGTGCTTTTTTTTCTCTTCTTTTTCTTTTTCCAGATATATGAGCATACACTTAAATAATGGCGATTGATTCAACGATTTGCCCGAAAGTCTTAATTGTTAGTTTAGTTTTTTGTTCGATCACACTGAGAGTGACAGCCGAAGAGAAACGATGGTCTAGACAAATTTCGAATTCTGGTTTTTTAAACGATTGGATTCCAGTTCAACCGCAAATTCAGCCACAACAGCGTCAACCAAATGGACGTGTATTGAATTTCGGACCGCCATTTCCATCGGCACAAAATGATTATAATCAGCAGCCGCCATCGGTCGCATCGACCGCAAATAATTTAGGTGAACCATTTCAACGGATTTTCCTTCAGCAAATGCATCCACCAAATTTGCCAATATTACCGCAAAATCAACAACAATTGCATGTGACCAATTTACAATCGAACCCATTCCGTCTTCATCCCGATATGCAATTGAATGCTGGCCCATTGAATACGGGACCACAACATTTTCTTCTTCAACATCCACCAAACGAAGTACCAACACCACAATTTCGATATCCACAATTTAATCCGCCAACTAAACCGGAATTCATACGAAATGGTGAATCTAGTCTTCAACCACCACAATCACAACAATTGATTCAAAGTGAACCACCACAACTGAAAACCAATGGCTTGGAACATCAACAGCCAAGCCTTGAAATGCAAGCATTACCACCACAAGAAGAAGTTCAACTATTGTATGTTCCATTGGACACACTTTACCATCAACAACAAGATAAAATACAAAATACACGTTATAACATTTTACCATCGCCGGTGAATCCATTGCAAATTAATAATTTCTATACGCATCATCAAAAATTCCCAGCAACAACGGTCGCTCCAACTAGTACACCATTCAAAATAACAACATCCGCAGCAAAATTGAGAACAACCACACCGAAACCAGTTCATCGATTTTCATTCAATACAGTAACGGAAAGTCCAAAACCAAAATCACATCAACCGCCATTGGCGATGTTCATGAAAAACAGTTTATCGATGGTAAACAATCCATCGGTGAACGATGTATTGTCACATTTAATCTATTCACGTTCGATTGATGTCATTGATTCGGTGGGAAATGCTGCGCCAAATGTTTTCATCGGGCCATATGGCCTCAATACACCCGATGGTTATTCGAAATTTGAATTGCCATATTTGTCAACACTCGAACAAACGCGTACCGATCGACAAATTAATTTGTTACCATTCTTTGTGGCGCCGTTGTCATATCGTGCACCAAAAGGATTTGCAAAAATCCCGTTACCATCACCGCATGTCGGTTCAATTGTTGTTAATTCACCAAATACCATTGCAGATGTAAATAGTTACGATAATAATAAAAACTTTTTCTCGGACGCAAAATTACATCAGTTACCGTCCGTGCCGTCAACAAAAAAGCCAGCCCAATATTTTGGTTATTCAACACCAGCACCGGAACGATCGCGTACCACATCGAGATTCCGATTTAGCAACGAAGTATCGAAACTACCATCGTCACCACCATCATCACAATCATACCACAATGAACCGGAAGTTGTGCCAACAACACCATCCACTTTCAGTACATTTAAATCAACGCCGTCAGCATACAAGGCACAAACCGATAATCTATTCGAGCATTCGATTGCAAGCGATTCGGACGAACAAAACTTTAATAATTTCGGTAGTAAATATCAAACAACGAACAATTTTGCAACGGCCGCACCACCAAAACAATTACAACCAATCGAAGAATATCGGTTGAAAGATGAAGGACCATCAAAATTCTCATTGACCAATTCACAACCGGTTAATACAACGGCATTTACATTCAAAAACGAAGAGCCACAAAATCTATTCAGTAGCTTCTTTACACAAACACCAACGCCAACGGTGTCATTCTTCAATACACCAGAGCCAATTGTTACGACAAAACAATCTGAGGTAACTAAGTTTGATGTCACCAATTATGATGAACCACAACGGTATAGTCCATATGTAAGCTCAACACAAGCACCAACCAGCACATCAACGGCAAGCATACCATCGGTGCGTGATGAAGAAGACACTTATCGAAATGATGAAATTGAAAAAATGAAGTCGTATTTCCGCGAACAAGAAGCATTCAAAGTGCGTAGTCCAATCGCTATCTCAACACCAGCTGCCTACTTTGAGAGCTCATCGGCCGGAACACTCGCCACCGAAAAAGGTTACAATGACTTCAGTACAATTCCATCGAAACTAACCTACTACACAAAAGATTCAAAACAACAGCAACAGCAACAGCAGCAGCAGCAGCAACAACAACAACAACAACAACAACAACACAGTCAAAATGTGGCCACAACACCACGAACAACTGTCACTTATTACACAGCATCGTCTGCCTCAGAAGCATCGGCCGAACAAGATATTCCACGATTGAAGGGTCATAATCATTCTGTTCATAAATTCCGATTTGTTGACTCAGTTCTCAATAAGGATGAAAACCAAATACAAACTACACCAAAAACCGAAGAGAAATTCATTCAACACGAACCATTACAATACAATGAAATTTACAGTACGTCACCACGTTATGAATCAACAAGAGCACCGTATCGTGAACGACAAACAATTCCACCATTCGATGAGAACACTGCCACCTACAATATTCCATCGGAATTATCACCAATTCAATCAAATCTACCCGGGCTAATCAATTCATTAATGGAAAAAGATGGAAATACAACACCGTATGTGACAATACCGACAACATCGTCACCAGTTGCCATCACAACACGACGATCAAGTGTTTCACGAACCAGAACTCGACCACCAACCACTCAACGAACGCATTCAATTGACGATAATTCGGTGCCGGAAATTACGACACGTCGTCCAGTTAGAGGTAGACGACCGATAAATTATGTAAATCGTACAACAACTCCACGTACCACAACTATTCGCAATGCAAATCGTGTACGATTCAATCCGAATGCTGATGAACGAAACAATATACGTACCAGCACACGAACCCGAACCCGTACCAATGGTCGTCCAGCCAAAGAAGAGGAAAACATCGACTATCAACGTGATGTGCTCAAACAAAACTATCCAATTTTATCGAAAAATGCAACAAAATCGAGCGAAATTAATATTGATCAATCGAATCGAGCATATAGTTTTAGTCGCGATACGACCATTTCACCACAATTCGATCAAGTTAAAATCGAAAAGAATGTTGAAGTATCGTACAGCGAAAAGGAATCAACCGTACCCGAAAAATACTTTGGCAGCAAAGAGGATGGCCCAAGAATTTACAATCAATTGCTCCAAAAAGAACCGGAAATTCCACAATTTGTGTCGACCACCACATTTACATCCATTCAAAATGAAGACAATCAAGAAGAAATCACCGAAGTGCTAAAAACACGAAAACCATCGTTTATTCGACGTGTGCCAACATCAACTGTACGATCGGTTACAACGCAACGATACACCACGCAATCCGAATATGATACAAGCAATCGATCCAAAGAACGAAATTCAGTAATTAAAAATTGCATTTCTTGCTTTACATTGTGATATTCACAATTCAAATTGAAATCTTTTTAGGTACGACAGAAAAATTGGCAAGAAACAAGTTCGTCAACATCTCGCATTGTAAAACCACGTCTTCGCGGTGGAAAACGGCCAATCGTCCCAACCACAATGAATCCAACCACTGAACTCAATACGGACCAATCATTCCAACAAATTAATTCGTTCAACAAAGACTTTTACAAAGAATCACCATACAGCAAAAAAACAACGGTGAACGACACAAAAAGTTCAGCCGAAAAGGTATGAAACATTCAATGAAACATATAATATAATAAAATTTGTTAACAACTTTTTTTCTCCCGAAAAATATGCAACATTTAGAGAAAGAATCAATTTAGATTCTCTTTGAATGCCGAAGAAAGTCAATGGTCAACAAAATTCAATTCAAACTCTTTTCAACCGTTGAACGCAAACGACAAGTCCAAATCAACGAATGACTTACCCGAAGTAGAGATTGTCACCGCTTCATCAATGTCCGATGCAGATAAGGTAATAAGCTACAGCGACGAATAGAAGACGGATCGATGTTAATTTTTATTTTTATTCATAGGAAACGTATTCATTCAATGTTCAAGCAAATTTCTTTGATTTTAATAAGAACAAGGAGAATGATAGCACATCAACCACTGCACAGCCTGAAACAAACAATGTGGAACCAGAAACGATTTATGGTAATGAAGTATCAAAATCGAGTTCCAACAGTCTTAATGTTGGCGCCGAAGAGAATAGCGTACAAAATGGTGAGAATAAATCAAAAGCCGGTCTATTAGACGATGAACCAGGAACAAAACCAGAAAAGAAAGGTCGTCGACGTGGTGTGTGGAAACGAGTTCGAGTTCGTCCGGTTGATAGTTTTGAAACTGCCGAATCACAAAACATTGGCAAACAATTGTATAACACTCTAATTAGCGACAATGTTAAAGAGTTTGGTGAACGAAATACGAAAAAACCAATGACCGGTACACGTATCTTGTCCAGCCCATCGGCCTATGCATACGAAGAAATGATGAATTTCAACGATGATGAGCCAGAGGTGCAAACCATATTTCCCATTCAAACAACCGAATCAACAAAATCGGACGATTTCGATATGACGACAATGAGCAGTGAAGACTTTAGTGATCTAACCACTCAATCGATTGAAAAAGATGAACGCGAATTGGAAGCAACGTCAACGGTCGACTATAGTGATTTGGATGATTTAACCACAACGGTATTGCCATTCATTTCATCGGATGTATCTAGTGACATGGAAAAGTCAAACCCCGAACGACCGGAAACCAATTCACCAACGGCCGATGATAAAAATGCCAAAACCAATGTTAGCGATCAAATAACCGAACCAAGTAGCATTATGGATGAGGTTAAACAAAAATTGACTGAACTCTTTTCGTTTGAAGATGACGATGTTGTGGTTAGTAATAGAACTTCTATTGAGCATTTTTAATGTTTTGTTTTCTAAATTGCCACATTTTTTTAAATTCCATATAGGTCAGTACAACTGAGCGTGTATTTAAATTTAATCGTAATTTCAAACGACCAAAATCACCATTACCACTTTACACATCAATCGATCGTAATCCATTAGTAAATGATATTGCCAACAATGAAAAAGATAGCAGTGATATAGGTGTGAAATCATCGCCAGCATCAATGAAATTGGAACCAGTTCCAGTGTTGAAGACGATACTGCGACCGATAACAGAACCATCATCATTTCACAAGGAACTGATGGATTCTGTGATTTATGCAACGTCAACGTCAACCGAAATTTCACACGAAACCGAAATTTGCTATCGTGGACGATGTGTGAAAACGCAAAAGAAACCATAAACCGGGGTATCGTTCCCTATTATTTCGATAGAAAATAAATCGAAACAATTTAGCTTTTCTATAATCATTCCATTTTCGACTGAATGAATGGAATACTATCTAATTCTAATTCTTAATTAAAAAACAAAAACAAACAAACAAAAAAAAAAAAACGACGATGCATTACCAAGGTTTTGCCAAGAATTTTGCCAAATAAATAAACACAAATACACACATCGTATTCGTACGTATGGTGAATACTGAATATACAAATCGTATATTGTAGCACTCCATTCGGTTATAATTCCAAAATTAAATGTAAAACAATTTAGTTGATAAGCATTCTCTGGCTCAAAATTGGGAAGAAAAAAAAATTGAACGAAACGACGAGAGAGAAGAAGAAAAAGAAAAGAGAGTTTTCATCCAAAATCATCATCTTCTTGCTGCATCCATTTCGCCATTTCGATCACCATGTCAAACTTTTTTTCTAGGAGAAAAGGAATTATTTTTCCCCAATTTATTTTATTATTTGATTAATTTTTTTTTTGTGTCTATCTTTGTTACTAAGTCCTTTGTTAACAATTTATTTATTTATTCCGTTTGTACTATTTTTTTTAAACAAAGAGAGAAAAAAATACAGAAATGAAAGAATCCTATTTTATACCAATACTTTGGGACGCTACGTGAAACAATTTTCGAACAGTTTGTGCGACAATATATACACACAAATTCAACTCATCATTTTTAGTCGCATACATTCTACTTTCATTTGCCCTCTAAATTATGATTCGTTCTAACAATTATCAATTTGTAGTAGGTTTGATGTATGTTTACTGATAAAAATAAATTATAATATTCAAAAAAAGGAAAAAAAAAAACACACACCGACACGTGACTAAATTCATTGGATTATTTTATTACTTCTTCAATTGTGATAGCTACAGTCAACATTTACGACGTGACAAAGCTAAAAACGAGTAAGTATTTGGGCGGCAATATTTGAAATTTAAGTATCGATAGTTTATGTGAAGTGATCCGATGTGAACCAGATAATATGTTTTTGACGTTTACTAATTACAAACAACTGGTCCGACCACTTTCATATGGACAAGCAAAGAAAATTTGTGTGAAGAGGAATTATAACAAAACATTCAGCAAAGCGCACACGTACAGGACACATCAAAACAATTCTTTATTTTGAATCCTTTGTTTATATATATCATAATTAGCTGTGCTTAATTTGAAACATGATTAGTAAAAATTCGTTCGTGTTCACTAATTCGTCCAAAATAGTAAATATAGTTTAGAAGATTTTGTATAATGTGCGCCGGGTGTGATAGTTATAAAATAGAATAGAAAAGTGTAATACAGCATCATCCATCGAAACATCAACACGACAAAACAATAATAAATAATAATGTCACCAAAAAAGAGTAATTCGCAACCAAGAATTATGGTTTTTCGTCCAACATGGGAGCAATTCTCGAACTTTTCCAAATACATTGAATACATGGAATCGAAGGGTGCACATTTGGCTGGAGTTGTTAAAGTGAGTATTAATATTTGTTTGTATGTGTGTGTGTTCCGTTTATTTTGGTGTTTTTTTTTTGTTGTATTTGATACTTGTGTCATTGAACCCGTTCCATTGACAGATTTTGCAAATAAAAAATTTACAATTTATTTATATTGTTTGATTAGGTGATACCACCGCCAGAGTATGTACCACGAAAATCTGGCTATGACTTAGACAATTTAAGAATAACAATACCAGCACCAATTGAACAAATAGTGTCGGGAAAACAAGGCATCTATCAACAAATAAATGTTCAAAAACGACCGATGACCGTTAAACAATTTCGTGATCTTGCAACATCCGTTCGACATCAAACGCCCAAACACTTTGACTATGAAGATTTGGAACGAAAATATTGGAAAAATGTGACATATATTGCACCAGTTTATGGTGCCGATGTGGCTGGCACATTAACCGATTCGGATGTTACCAGCTGGAACATAAATAGTTTGGGCACAATTTTAGATTATGTGAACAAAGATTATGGCATATCGATTGCTGGTGTAAATACAGCCTATCTTTATTTTGGAATGTGGAAAACATCATTCGCTTGGTAAATAACATTTTCTATTTATATGAAATATCACCAAAAACAAAAGAAAAATTTACCGTTTGTTTATAAATTTTTAAGGCACACTGAAGATATGGATCTGTATTCGATAAACTATTTACATTTTGGAGCACCAAAAACATGGTATGCCATACCGACAGCGTACGGTCGCAAATTGGAAAAATTGGCAAATCGATTGTTTGCCGAAAATTATGAACTATGCAATGCACATCTTAGACACAAAATGACGATAATTAGTCCACAAGTATTGCGACAAAATCAAATACCATTCAATAAGATAACACAGGAACCGGGTGAAATTATGATCACATTTCCATTTGGCTACCATGCTGGCTTCAATCATGGTTTCAATTGTGCCGAATCAACAAACTTTGCCGCATTGCGTTGGGTCGAATATGGCAAACGAGCATCACATTGTCAATGCCGGTAACTTTTTCACTTAATATATGAATGAATATTGCAGTTTTAAATTCAAATGACATTACAGTTATTCTTTTTATCGTCACCATTTAGAAGAGATGCGGTGAAAATCAGCATGGACACATTTATCAAAAGATTTCAACCAGAAAATTATACAAAATGGCGAAGTGGTAATGATATTGGACCACATCCAGAAGATGCTCATCGTCAAAGGTAAGGCTACTATTTTTACGAATCATTTTTTGTTAAACGTTTTTTTTACACATTTGTTTTCGGTATTTTGTAGCAATGGAAGCAGCTCCAAATCAAAATCGGCGAAAAGAGCCAAAAATCAAGATAGATTATCAGCACTGAAAAGGTATTATTTTTCTTTGTTTGTTTTTGGCGTAGCATTAATCAATGACCAATATCTTTTCTGGCAGGCGAAAAATTGACATTTCAAAGTTTGTCGTACCTGAACATATGAATCCAAAAGTTCGTTTGAAAAACATTTGGAAAGAATTGGCCGATGTTGGTGTAGCTGTAAATCTCTTGCCACCCGGAAATGTCAATAAAACCATTAGCATCAGATATAACATCAAAACTCAATCTTTATTCGACGATGATATTATGAATTAGCTTAACACCAACAAAAGAAAACCATTACTCTACAGCGAATGTGGAGTGTACGTGTGCTGATCGAGAACTTTTCTTTTTTTTTTGTTGTGTAATTAACTTTTTTCATTCAAGTGTGTGTTTACTCAACGTATTTTGAGAAATCTTTTTTTTTTGTTTTCTTTTCATCAACTCTTCATTAGCATTGGATTCATTAGAGTTTCTTTTTCTGCCAACTTCGAAGGGCATCACATTAAGTTAAGAAAGAACGTAAAACAAAAACAAACGAAAATTCGAAATTGTATAGAATCTATTGAAATTTATTCGAGTTCATTTCCAAAGTTATACAGCATTAGATATTTATACAAATAGATAATTATTAACTCGACAATGCAGTTTAATTTATACAATCAAATTAAATCAATTGAAAAACTAAATTGGTCAATAGTTAAGTAGGTGAAAACGTGTTCATAAATAAAATATTGAACAAAATAAATGTGTCATATAACATCAAATAAATATTTTTATTCACGCCAATTTCATTCGAAATATGAGTAATTTCGTCAAGTTATTCCGAACCATTCATAAATGTACTCAAGAAAAGAAACTAAAAAAACTGAACCGGATCAGTTTGTTACACACACACACATACAAACATGCGATTGCCTTTTGACATTTCGTTTGACGTAAATAAAGTTACTGAAAATCTATACACACATTTTAAGCTGCATTTTCAGAAGCGCAGTGAACAACAAATTTTGCGACTTAGAGACGGGAAAATTTGTTTAAAATAGCACATTGTTATTCGATTGAGTAAATACAGTGTGACATTGTAAAAACAATTCAATACATTATAATTTCCATGTAAATAAATATGCCCGAATTGAAGCGGCTTCAAAGTGAATTTTATGCGAAAAAAATACAGTTCTATTTGATTACATAAAACTTGTTTTTCTTTTCTTTTAAAAAACCTGCATAACAAGAAACATTTTTATTTCCGCAAACAAAGTTCTTTTTTTCTTTTTCTCTCGTTATCGTGTTACTAGTTACTCGCGTGCGACAATTGCCTTTGATGGTTGCAAAATATATATATTTCTGAGTACGTTTTTTATTCATTAGAATATTAAAACAACAACAACAAAAACAATCGTAGCAAACATAGCAAGCAACAAAAACAATAACAACAATATAGTATGACATAAAATGAAATATGTTTAAAATATCCGATTTTTGTTGAGAATAGAAAACAGTGTGTGAGATAAAAATATAACGAAAAGAAAATGGTTACATGGAATACAAACAAACGAATAGTGCGTATTCTGTTGGTTGGTGATGCGGGCGTTGGGAAAACGTCACTCATTTTATCGCTTGTAAGTGAGGATTTTCTCGAAGATGTACCACCAAAAGCAGAAGAAATTACTATTCCAGCCGATGTAACGCCAGAACAAGTTCCAACCAACATTGTAGATTACAATGGTAACTATTTACATTTCGATTCAAATGCGATTTTTTTTTCTAACTTAAATAATAATGAATTTGATTTTTTTTTAATTAAAAACGACCAGCAATTGAACAAAATGATGATTCATTGCACGAGGAAATCAACAAAGCACACGTTGTATGTATCGTGTACTCTGTTGAAGATGAAACATCACTCGACCGTATTAGTGACTATTGGTTGCCATTGATTCGAGATTCGGTCAACGAAAGTGAACAACGAAAACCAGTCGTTTTAGTTGGAAATAAAATCGATTTAATTGACTATTCAACAATTGATGTAAGTTATGAATTGCGTTTTTATGAAATCAGTTTTCCAAAGTTCGGAAGCCGGAAGTCATGTCTTGTTTGTGTGGCGGTGCAGAGCAAAAATGTGATGCAAATATATACAATGTTGTGGAATTCATTTCAAATAGTATGGCTTCGGAGTTTTTGAAAAAACGGAATAATGATTTCTATTCTATGATTGGATATTTATACGAATTAAATGAAATTACAGATGGTTCTTGGGATTATGGAAGAATTTCCTGAAGTGGAAAGTTGCATTGAATGTTCGGCAAAAACTCTACACAACATATCCGAAATGTTTTATTATGCACAAAAGGCGGTACTTCATCCAGCGGCCCCATTGTACTCGATGGAAGATCAAGACGTAAGTTTTTCGAAATATGCTATGCATCAAATCCATTACGAATAATTTTTGAATGTATTGTATTTCAGTTAACGGATAAATGTAAAAAGGCGTTGGTTCGAATTTTTAAAATTTGCGATATTGATGGTGATGGTTTGCTCAATGACTTTGAATTAAATCATTTTCAACGACGTTGTTTTAATGCACCGCTTCAGCCACAAGTTCTTGAAGAAGTGAAAGCAGTATTGAGTAAAAATGTACCGGATGGTGTTGTCAACGATGCGGTCACTTTAAAAGGTTTCCTATTTTTGCATTGTCTGTTCATTCAACGTGGTCGCAATGAAACAACATGGGCTGTTTTGCGTCGCTTTGGCTACAATGAAACATTAGAAATGGCAAAAGAGTATTTACAACCGACCATCAAAATACCGCCCGGAAGTAGTACAGAATTATCACATCGTGGACAACAATTTCTAACAATGTTATTCGAACGAAATGATCGGGATCTGGATGGTGCATTATCACCGGATGAATTGAAGACATTATTTTCGGCTTGTCCAACATTGCCATGGCCATCACTTTCCGATTTACGTCGAACGGTGCCAACAAATGAAAAAGGCTGGCTTACACTTCATGGTTGGATTTGTCGCTGGACACTACAAACACTGGTCGATCTACCGCGAACACTTGAGTATCTTGCTTATTTAGGATTTAATGTGCATGAAAATGAATCACAGTTGACCGCCGTACAAGTGACCAGAGAACGAAGACTGGATTTGGCGAAGAAACAAAGTAATCGAACTGTGTATATGTGCCATGTTATCGGACCAAAGGGTTCGGGCAAAACAGCACTATGTCGTGCACTTATCGCAGAAGATATGAAACGTTTACTCGATAGAGATTTTCGAAGTGGTTCACACTATTGCGTAAACAGCGTACAAATTTACGGTAAGAACATGGAATTGAAAAAATAAACATTCGAAACCAAGAAGAAGAAAAACAACATAATCACAATATATGTGCAATTTTAGGTCAAGAAAAGCATCTTGTTATGCGTGATATTGAAGTGCGTCAAGTATTGGATCCATTGCAACCGCAAGATGTTCACTGTGACGTCGCTTGCCTAGTCTACGATACAAACAATCCAAAGTCATTTGAGTATATTGCACGTATCTACATAAAATATTTTGCTGAGAGCAAAATTCCTGTATTGATTACGGGTACAAAGGGCGATTTAACCGAGGTTCGCCAAGAGTATTTATTGCAGCCCAACGAATTTTGTCAAAAGTACAAAATTCTACCACCGCAAATATTTAGTCTGAAGCATAATAAAAAGGATTTATATGTCAAATTATCAACAATGGCAGCATTTCCGTAAGTTATCGATCACGTTCAAACAATAAAAATGTCGATGCGAACATGTTGTAAATTCAATGCTCTCATTACAGACGATTCCAGGCCGCATGGATATTATTTTACAGACATCGCTTGGAACATCTTTGGGATTCAACGTAAGCTAATACTAATTTAATGCTCTAAAACAGTGATTCATCATGCTTTCATTTGTTTGCAGAAATCTAAGACATTTTGGTCTCATGCGTTCGGATCCGCTAGTGTGGTGGAAGGCTGGCATTGGTTTGGCAGCCGCTACGTGTTTTGGATTTTTTATAGTTAAGATTTTCCAAAGATCAACACCCAGCTAAATAACGATAATTATTACGTTTTATTTTCGTTCAGACTAGCTTTTCTCATCAAATAAATTCAATTTGTCTGTAATGTAAATATAGTATTTTTTCAACAAAAAAAAGAAAACAATTTGAAAACGAAACAATAAAAAAAATCCGAAAAATCATCCAGTTGCATAAAATACAATATATCACCCCCATAATGTTATCAAAAACAATGTGATGTATTTAACGTAGTTGTTGACGTAACATTTGTTCATCACAGCAATAAACTAACTTCCTTCAGAATTTACAAATATTATAACAAAAAAATTGATTGCCTTTTTAACACCAAACAATTTATATTTTGCTAAATATTTAGTAAAAAATGTCATTTTTATTAGTACACATTTGAAAGGCTGCGGTGAAAAAAGGACTTTTACCCTTTTGTGATCATTCTGTCGTTCGTCGACACTGTCTATTGCCGATTGTTCATTGTCCTAGAAAATGAAATTTCTCTCAATTTGCACTTTTCATGAATTTTACTAAAAACCTACAGGTAAGATCATGTAAGGACAAGTGATACATGCATTTTTTTTAAATTTATGTCATGAATGAACTAAAACGTAAAAATTGCCATGTTTGACATATGGATGGCGTTGTTTATCTGATGAAAAATTCGGACGCTAACGCACATCAGACGCTTTTGACCCCAGGGGATTCCATTATGGGAATTGACTAAATGTTTTCTTTCAGTGTCAAAATTCCGCTAAACAAAAACACAGAATTTTTCATGCGTGTTTTACGTGGAAATTGTGTTTTAAGCTTGAATTTTTGTTGGACAAGTAGTTCTCTGCAGAAATATTCATCGAAAAAGGTAAAGTCATTGTTTTTTATATTGTTTTTTGCTTGTGTTTGATTTTTTTTTATTTATGTAGAATGTTGCCAATTATACGTAAACGTGAGCATCGTTTGTCTGAACGTCAAATTTCTGATGCAATGCAAGCAAACTATGATGATGAAATGTTAAATGCCGATTTTGCTGGCGATGAAGAAAGTTCTATTGATGACTTCACTGACAGTGAAGAAGACTATGAAAGCAATTTCGAAGAAGAATTCCAGAGTGAAAACAAGGGGATGGATACCGATTTGCACAACGAAACAGAAGAAAAACCATCAGTTGGAACTGAATGCGAGCCGCAGCCGATTCAGCTGAATCCAAACCAATCGAAATTAATTCCTGGTCAACATTTCGACACGCATTTCGATTATTTTGACGCAATTTTTTCTCAACAGGTGATGAACATAATTGTTCGTTTCACAAATATTGAAGGACATAAGCGGATAGCAAATTTCAAAAATGTCGATGATATTGAAATTCGTGCATTTATTGGTCTACTGTTTGCCGCCGGTGTTGATAGATCAAGTAAGCGGAATTATCGAGAATTCTATGGAATTACACGAGGAATGCCATTGTTCCGTGCAACATTGTCTTTGACACGTTTCATGGAATTACTTCGCTTTTTACGCTTTGATGACAAAGACACGCGTTCTGAACGGCGCAAACGAGATAAATTGGCTCCGATTCGGGATTTATTTGAACTGGTCGTACAGAACCTGGGAAAAATGTACACGCCGGCAGAACAGGTGACTGTCGATAAACAGTTGGTGGCGTTCAGAGGACGATGCAGTTTCAAGCAATATCTTCCAAGCAAACCTGACAAATTTGGCTTGAAGATTTTTTGGTTGGTGGACACTAAAACATTGTATCCTCTAAATGCCATTCCGTATCTCGGTCGCGAACGATCCGGACCGGCACGAAAAATAAACATTGCAAAAGACATTGTTTTGAATTTGACCCGCCCCTATTTCAAGTCAGTATCATCTATCAAAATGGTTCATTATTCTCAATGTTTTGTTTTTTTTTTGTAATTTTAGGACTAACAGAACGGTTGTGTTTGAAAACTTCTTCTCAAACCATGACACACAAAGAAAGCTTCAATCAAATGGATTGTACAGCGTCAGTACTGTTCGTAAGAACAAACGATTTATGCTCGACGAATTGTTCAACATGTTTACTGTTCAACGCAAAACAAACCGATGGCCAATGGCGTATTTCATGAATTTGGTGAACGTTGCTGGTATGGCAGCATTTGTTTTATGGCGTACAGCCAACAACAAGCTTGGCCAACCTGTGAAAGAAGAACGCAAAAAATTTCTTACGTGTCTTTACATTGAGCTTACATATCAACACATTTCGCGACGTACCACGTCGAATCTGTCGATTTCTGAAAGGCAGTCAATTAATGATATAATTGGAAATGATCCGCTTTCGGTAGAGCCATCAACGTCGGAAGTCCAACCAAAAAGAAGACGTCGCTGCCATATTTGTCCACGTAAGATAGATCGAAAGTCCAAACAACAATGTGGAATTTGTCACAGAAATGTTTGTAAGGAGCATGCTTACGAAATCATTAGATGCAAAAGTTGTCATGTGCAGCCGATCATCAACGCTTCAGATTCGGAATGAATTAGATAAATAATAAGCCATAAATCCATAGCATGATAAAGTTTTATATAGGTTTTGTATCCACTGAAGTTCACTGGACTCCCACCTTTTTATGAAGCTACAGGTTTTAACCTATGTAATTCAATTCACGAAACTGTCGATGCATTGATCAACAAGTACTCATTATCAGACTATTGAATTTCCCAAATCTTTGTTCATTTTCCGAAGGAAATGTATTAAATAAAATAACCATTTTTACATTCACATTCGTTTTTATTGAATTTTTTCTGTCATTTTTCATTTGCTTAATTTGTTAAAAAAAGCCAATCTTTTGCTCAATTACATTTGTTATTTCCACATAGTTAACTTAATTCAGTAGGTCTTGAACATGTTTTATGAGGATAAAATACGTATGTCAATTTTATGTTTCTTTTATTTTGTCGTGTGAGTGTGTGGACGCAATGAAATTAAAAAAAACACCAACATAATTACTGTAAAAAACAATTCATTAATTGACATTTGTGTCAATTCCTGCATAAATCGGACAGAACCAATTCGAAATCGATGCCGATAAAAAATGTTCATTGTTAATGTCGATCGTTAAAAATTCGGATGAAAAATGATGCAATTTTATGCTGAATTAGTGAAATTGTGTTTTTTTATATATTCGGCCGATTAAGAAATGGAGCAGTGAATTTATGCAGAAATTGACTTGACATTTACATTCAATATCTTCTTATTATATAAAATGGTAAGAATAAAGAGTTGATGATAGAGTTTTTTTTGGGATTCATGTGTATGTGTGTTGCCTTCTCAAAGGAACACACGCACGCAATGCAAGAAAAATCATTTGTTGTACGGCACTGCAAGGTACTAGAGGGTTTATTTATTTCTTTGTTTCTTATTGATTTCGTTCTTCGGAGGAGAATCAAGTTCTGCACCAAGTTTTTTCATTAGATTTCAGAGAATATCAAAATACAGTCCACGAAATACATTTAAAAAAAATTCGACCACAAGTTAAATATCTATTATATAATAAAATTAATTGCCATCCATCGTTTATTTCTTTTGTCTTATTATTTTGCTTTTTTTTTCATTTAACAAACTATTTTGGATCAGGTATGTACTTGTGACATTGATTGATAGACAAACATGCAGGATTTACAATACAAAGTCGATTTTGTTTATTTATGCAATTTGTGTATTCATTCGAGCACTTTTCAACCATAAAAATTTGATTTTTCTTCCATTACAGCCGTAACGTTACACCCGTAACGGTGAAAAATGTCATCCAAAATTGAATTCTATGTCCTCTATGTCTATTTTTGGATTCAGTTTTCCTGGTTGTTGTGATTCAGCACACGAACAATTTGGTTAATTAAATGCCATATTTTTAATTATTTATTGATTATTTATTTTGGTTTCAGTTTGCTTTTAAATGATTATGACAATATGCACTTCTGACACTACATTTCATACTATTTTCCATTTCATGTTTCTCACAAAAATAAATGTCATCGTTTTAGTAAATGAAAATTGACAAATTCAAAATTATAGACCAAAATCGGCATTAAATGAATCGGATATTTGGTTTGGCTTTCAAAAAAAAAGAACATTTATTTCATGACAAATAGCTATAGCTTGAAAGACGTCACAACAATAGTTGAAAAAAAAAAATCTCATAAATCACAACATGTCCAAGTGTTTGTGTATATTTTGTTTATTTTTTTTTTATCATTTGGCATTCGCCTAATTTGGTTTTTCTTTTTTCATTATCATTATGTATTTCACTTTATTGAATTTTCTAAAAAATATTCGTTTTATTCATTTCATTTGGCAGTAAAATATATAGAAAAAATTGGTTCAAATTGAAATGTTTGGAACAAATTTCGTTGAATTATGTTCGCTTAAAATATTATTATGGTCATTTGGAGAACGATCTTCTTTCCATTTTTTGTTTCATAAAATGTTCTTCCTCAAGGTTGTGTGCACGTAAAATGAATAAGCATAATGGAATTTCAAACGACAGTGGAAAAGAGCAAAAGACAAAAAAAATAAGTCTTAGTTATGTATTTGGCAAATGTTACTTACAAAAAGGTGGTCATTTTCTTTTGCATGTTTACATTTTTTTTAGAAAAAAAAAAAATCATAAGCACCATTCACAACTGTTTCATGAGAAGAAAGGAAGAAAGAACTACATTTTTTCGCATATAATTCAGGAAATGGTATTAAGTCTATATGAAGTATGACGAGATTTTAAAAAAATGCGTTACATTTTATAACGTATATTGAATTGTGCGGAGAAAAAGAAAATTATTACGAAACCGAATAAAGATAATTATATTTCGTTGCAATTATTCGTTTTATTCAGCGGTTGTTCCTCTGAAGAATAGGAATGGGGCGGAGGATAAGGATCTCCTCCTCTTCACCGTTCCTCCTCTTCAGGGAAACAACCCCTGATTTTATTCTAATTACGAGGTTTCTGTTCTAATTGTGCCTGCCGTTCAGTTGAAAGTGTATTTTTCTAAAAAGTTAAATCATTTTGCAAGATTCTAACTCGTTTTTCCTAGCGCACATTTTGAAATATCAATTTTTTCGAATCAAATGTTCATTTCTATGCGGTGAAGTAGTTTGTTATACTCGAACTGACGTACAGCAAATAAATACAGCTTCAATTCCACGGGTCGTTGAATAAAAAGAAAGCACCAAAAATGTGTGTGATATTTACAACTATAATTTATCGAAATAAAAATGACCATTCGTTTGCGTATTCATTTAACACTTAGAATTGGATTGATATTATTTAGTTGTTTTTTTTTTTGTTAAATGGAACAAAAGGAATATTGCGATTTCGTTTGCGTACAACATCTGTTGGTTTATCCCGATTTTATTATTCACTCCACTTATATATTGTATAAATTTAATCGTATTCACGAACATAAGACATTTTTTTTTGTTATGTACATTTATATGGATAAATACTAGATTTTTTTTGTATTGCATTTTGTTTATGTTTTTGTTGTGATTCCTGTTCTTGTTTCTTGTCTCTCTGTGTGTGTGTTTGTTTGTGTGTGTAGTAAATTGAAAACATCGATTAACCTACGTTATTTTTTTTTTAAATATTTGAGTTATTATTTTTTAAATCTCAATACAGACACATCCATTTAAAGTTGTATTTTTTGTATTCATTCATTATTATGCTATGACATTGATATTAATATTTTTGTTATCATAAATTCTGTTCGATCATTGTATTTAACGAAAACATCCAAATAAATTCCATATTTCACATTTTACATTGATTTAAATTCTAGTTGTGGTTTAATGGTTATTGAAAAAGAGTGTGTATTTAAATTTGTTTAATTTCTGTTTTCTCTCCCAATAATCTCTTCAATGGGCGCGTCGGTTCTCGAAAATTGTGCGCGAATTGTTGTGATTTTGGGAAAAGAAGTATAGGCGGGATTGATTGAAACAACACTGACGTGTATCTATGGCAAAGCCTAAGCGACAAAGAAGAAGAAATGCAATAAATTAAATTTGATTCGTACATTAAAAAAAACGAATTGTAAAATTCCCTTCGCGGAAAAAATGGTGAACGGTTTAAAATCAATTACTGATATTTTTTTCTCGTTACAATTAATACTTTATATATTATATTTATATATATATATATAAAAATGCTAATCTATTTTTTTATGAACAGGTATGAAAATATATTTTGCACATTTCACAATTTGTTTGCCGAGTGTACTTGCTTTTACTTGTGTAGTGATGTTGATTCAAATTTGTTGTTGTTGATGTTAAAGATTTAAGCAAATATACAAAAACACACCGATAAATTCCAAATACTGCTTAGTTTATATGTATTTAAATTACAAAGGAGAAAAGCGACAACCCAGCAAAATATTTCTAGTTTCTCCTTCTTCTTATTTTGTTTAAACTATTTATTTGGTTTGTTTATCCGTGTTTATGATAACAGCATTGATTTTGTTGTTTTATGTGTTTGGTCGAAATAACGTTTTGTTTAAATGCGGTTCATTTCGGTTGTCCGACGTCGACTGTATGTGCAACAATACACGAAGATAAAAACGAATGTAAAAAAAAAAATAAACAAACAACGATATGTTTTTTTTTCTATTTTAATTAATGTGCCAACCATATACCTATAGTTCATGGTTTTGACGTATTTCTCTCATAATTTTGAAATGTAATTAAAAGAAGGAAATTCATTTTATACGTTGATTCATTTTTCTTCTTGTATTTTTTGTTTTTGTTTTTCGATAATGATAAGATTAATTTATTGTGCCATTGCTGATCTTTTTTTCTTTTGGGATTGGTTAATTTCATATGTTGTTTTGTATTTTTTTTTTGTTTTAAATATGAGTCCACTAGCTACACGTTTAGATTTTTCCTGTGTTTATAATACATTTGCATCAATATTATGTTTCAATACACAATACAGGATTTCATCTTTCAAAAAACCACATTCACAATTTTGCAATTTTTAAATTCTGAAGCGTTTAAATTTATTCACAAATAGTTTTGAGTTACCAACACGACAAAAAATACAAACACAAAAAAATGATACTTTATTCTTTTGATATATATATATATTAGCGTTCAAAATTTACATAAAAAAACGACAAAACATAAATTAATGGAAAAAACAAAACTCAAATTTATTTATGGACATAAGAGTTCGTTAAGTGTTACTTTATAATCAGTCTTGCTAGATGTTTGGAAAGAATTGGAAAAAAAATTTGGGCCTTACACACGAATCGATTCCTTTTTTAAATTAATTTCCGTTTTTTTTTTTTGATAATACTCGGACAACCATTCAAATTGTTGTTTTGTTTTCTTTGTGTGTGTGTGTGTATGTGTTGTTTTTTATACATTGTTTCTTACGTTTTCTTTTTTAAAAAATACATTTTGGAAATGAATATAAAAATAAGCGAAGGAATCACGTAAATCGTGTTCACATTTATCGACAAATATCAAAATTAGAGAAAATGTGATAAAGAGAAAAATATGAGTAAAAAAAATGTATTTTTCTTCAAAACATACAAAATGGAACACGATAAATTTTGGATTTGATGCATTCATTACATAAACATATAAGTTTTCTTCTGTTGCCTTTTCTCCATTATAAAATTGCACACGTTGCCTGTTTCAATCAGGTTGAGTTAATGTTTTCTTCTGAATTGTTTTGCTTTATATTGAAATTGATATTGATAGCACAATGTTTGATGATTACTTTTATATTGTATTTCCAACAAATAGCTTGGATCGATTGATCAACACATCAAAACATACAATTTTTAATTTATTATTTTGGTTTTCATTTTTTTTTTACTTTTGTTCCAATACATATAAATTACGTTACAACATACAATAAATCCACAATATTCTTATTTATTTGTTTTTTTTTTTTGTTTTTAATTATTATTTTGTCCCATTTCTCGTGTATATTTATAGTTTTATTTAGGCACGTCACATTACATAGCAACAATGACGTTCTCTCGAGTATTTCAACAATCTTGTCTTTCTGTTTTATTTCGATGCGCTTTCCAATAATTATAATTTGATTAAAAGCTTTAAGGGTTTTGTTTTGAGTGGATGTGTGTGTGTGTGTGTCACATACTTGTGCTTGTATTATTTCATTGATGTAGCAAGGAGCTGCTTGGATTGAGCGTTGCTCCCCTGCGCATATTTGTTTATTGTTTTTGTTTTTTTTTTATCAAATTCACTAATTCTGTGTGTGTCTGTGGATTTATCGAATACGCATCCTCCGCACTTCACTTAAAAATTTACACAATCATTGACCACAATAAACATTTACATAAAACTGATAAAGTAGCTCATGTTTGTTTTTTCCATTTTTCTGGCTTTGAGTTTTTATTCTCTCTCTTTCTCTCTTTTATTTTTCATTTCGGTGTGTTGTTTTTCCTTTGTTTAGTTCATTGATTCAAACATTAGTTTTTCATTTTATAAAGCATACACAATACACATATTAAACTATATAATTATTGTAAAAAATTATTTTCTATACAATTTTTGTTGTTTCATTATTGATTTATGTATATAATATTCATATATCGAGTGGTTCTATTCAATCATTTCATTTTCTCTTTTGTTGTTTGTTTGTTCATTATCTAAACTAATTAAAATGAGAAAAACAAAACATTTCCTTAAAAAAGAATGAAATTAGAAATATTAAATCTAGAAACGTAGTAAACACAAATAAATGCGGAATATGTTTCGAGTTTTTCTCTTCTCTTCATTTTTGTTTTTTTCTTTTACTTTCACATTGTTTTTGGAATGGGAAAATTCCATGCAAATAGACTTTTCATTTCATTCATTGTGTTTTACATTCACATGTTTTCTTCATTGTTTTAAATTAATATTTTACAATTAATTCATTTAATAAATTTGTTTCCACTGTTTTTTTTTATACTATCGTCTCTGGCAACGAAATGTCATGCATGATGCGTTGACCGTATTCAAAAACGGTTTGCGTTGTTACTACTTCCTGCCATCTGATGTTGCACTATTCAGACGACATGATATTATGAACCTGTTCCAATTTGTAGGCGAGACGTTGTTTTTGCGAAAATTCATCCTCTTCTAGCGTAACAGTTAGTTGCTCGTTGTATTTCACAGCATAAGTGTAGAGTTCGTGGAGGGCACAATTCGTATTAAATTCAGTTGTGTGCAACTGTAAAATCAATGCAAAGAGAGCGAGATAAAAAAAACGCATTTCAAAATTGTATTTGCACAATACAATGAAAATTAAAATGAGTATACTTACACGTGACTCTTCGTTAAGCATTGCAGCCATATCCTGATCACTGATTGCTGGCATCTCTCGAATATCAGTGTAGTATCGTTCAACCCATTGACGATACGATGGAATGTCTTTAGCGTACAATAATTTTGAACTCGGTGAATCTTTACCTAAACGATGATCCGATGTCGAACATGAATCCATAAATGTTTGAGCAACGACCGATAGACATGAATCGACAATATTCGATTTATGTATGTCAAAAACGAAATTTGGATTTTTTATTAAATTAACCCAAAATCTGTGGACAACGAAAAGAAAAAAACGAACAAGTTGTGTGAGTGTTAATTTTTGAAGGAAAAAAAGTAAAAATAAAATTGTGTGGTAAACCTACCTTAATGGTAAACTATTGCTTTTCCATGTGTGCACAACCTCTGGATCAGTAATACCGTGTAATAATGCTTGATCATCCAGGAAATCAAACATATATTTTATAGCTAATGGCAGTGCCGAACCTCGATGAGCCGTACTGAATATAGTTTCGAATAAATCGTCTACGAATTTTTGCAACGTACCCTTGGTGGCCAACAAACGTGTCAAATAAATTTCGGACACCATTTTATTGACGCGTTCGCCTTCTTTTTGCAAGTCAATATCATGATGCTTCACCAAATGCCAATAACGTAAACCATTCTCTTGTACATCGGCATTAAGTGGGCTACCAGCTCGACTGAACGGTGGACTTGATGACGGATATTTTGATAGATTTAACGTTTCGTATTTATGTGATTTGTCATTTTTATCCGATAGCATGGATAAATTGTAAATGGGACTTTGTCGTGATACTAAGCTCAGACATGCCCCATCTGGTACCCGATAATGGTGTAGTGTATTCAATTTTTTCCATTCACTGTCCATTTTTGATGTGGAATCTTCATCATATAAAATGACCCGACCCGATGCACCGGTTCGCCATTCCAAATCCAAATCGTCACGTCGTGGCCGTTGGCTCCATGGTGTATTACGGTAAATTGTCTCTAAGCATTTCTCTTTGACTTGACCAATTGTATCACAGTCCAAAACGCGAACAGCAACATTTTCCGTATTTGTTGGCATCATTTCAATATTATTTGTGCATAAAATTGGCTGCTGTGTTATGCTTGCATAGACAGTCATACATTTAAAATCGATCAATTGACGAATTAATTTCTCTTCGCTGAGCGAATATCGAGCTTCGTGCGTTATTGCATCCACCGGACCTTTATCCATTTGCCCTTTTACCGCTCGGAACAGCATGTACAATGGTTCGCCGGCACATTCACGCAAAAATTTATGCAACAAAAATGTAAACCATGCGCTTAACATTTTTTCGGCCACGCTTTCAGTTCGTCGCAATAATAGTTTCGGATGACTCTTGCCATCGATACACTTTTCAATTAATTCGGCTAAAAGCGTTTTCAGTATGTCCGTGCAATATTCTAATTTACTTTGCAGTGTAACCATTATGAGGGATGCAACATTCACACGTTCTCGCATTGAAAAATATCGATTACTCTCCAATGTTCGAATGAACAACAATAAAAATGTTTTATTCATTATCAATTGGCCAAAGAGACGAAGTCCTTTCTCTTTTTTCAATAGTTCCGGACGTTCCCATTGCAATACTACGTGATCTTCGTTGTTTGGAAATAGAATTTTCATGGCATACGTTCGATAATCTAAGAATGGTATTCCGCCACTCGTCAAATCACCAGTCATATCACCCATTTCCGTTTGCAATTCAGCAAATGCCTCTTTACATTCGGCGGCCACTTGTAATTCCAGTATATCCATTTGTTCTTGCATATTTTTCAAAACGCGATTACTTTCACTCGTTTTCTTTCGATATGCAATCACCAAACTGATAAACACCAACAACAGAATTACAATGCCTGCATTTTTGGAAAAATAGAGAAAAAACACGAAAAACAACAAATATTTAATAATTTTTGACATTTTCTTATTGATTATCAATATATCGAGCGGCGAGATTGTACTCATTGGTTACATTTCAATATGCTCAATTTTATTAACACGAAATATATTTGTTTTTTTTTTTCTTTTTCGAATCAATATTCATTATCATCAAAAAGTCATTGAACAGTAAATTGTCACAAAGTAGAACTTGCAACAAATAACGAAATATTATTCTAGACATTGACATTGAACTTACTTGTGATGCCGCCAACCATAGCATTTTTACTGAGACCATGCATAAAAGTTGGAGAAGCAAAACTGAGAACACCAATATCAAATGATAGCGATTGGCCAACCTTCACTAAAACTTTTGGATTTCTGTAAATTTCGGGGAAAGTGAGAGAGAGAGAGAGATAGTGAGAAACCGCAACGATAAAATGCTTTTGACGTAACAATAAAAGTGTCAATGAAAAAACTTACTCATTGGAATCTGAAACATCGGTTGGTGGTCGGCATGTTAGTTGTTGTCGTGAAAGTGATGTTATATTGCATACACCTTCTCCGATCAGTACAACGACATCAGTTTCTTTGCTGGCACGATCTAAATTCCGTCCATTGATTGTCAAATATTCGCTCTTAAAGTACTTCACTTCCTCTTCGAATTTGGCATACCAAGGATTTGGATACAGTTCAAACTTTTGATGCCCTTTGCTCGAGAGATTTTGCACACTAGCCACATCATCCATCATAAATCCAAATTCCAATTTGGCTGGTTCATCAGCATTCAATTTATCACTATCCTCGTCAATAACCGGTGAATCACACTCCATTTCCGTATTGCTCATTGCCGTACAATGCGAAACAAATGTTTTATCATCGTAATACACGTACATTTGTGGTTTTTGTATAATTTTCAAATTGTTTCCATGCACATAGACCTTAATGCCACCGGCCGGAATACCTTTCGGTGTCTTTTGGCTCGTTGAACCTGAAGCGGCCGAAATGATTGTTGGATCATCTTCAAATTGATATAGTCCAGCATCACATTCGCGTGTGGCCCGATCGAATTCCATTCGCAATTTTCCCGTTCGTTTTTCGGGCGATAAGCTCGTTCGGCACAATGCTTGATTTTCATCCACGCTCAATATCACGCACGGCATATCACCGATGTACGCTTTTATCAAACTGCCTGCATTCAAATAGTTGCCAGTGATTGTAACTTGTGTACCACCGGATACTGGTCCCGATTTTGGATTAAAATCATCGATTGACGGATCAACAAATTGAAAATCAGTTGTTGATTCACCGCGATAGTCACCAATTTGAACGACAATTTTTCCTTGACGATTTTTAAAATCGCCGGGCCCATCGACGGTGCAAACAATTTTCTTTGTATCCACATATAAATTCTGGAATGGCATACAACTCATTCCGGCCACTTTAACGCCCGAATAAATGTCAAGGAAATTTTTGCCCAAATTTATGCCACGTATCGTTACATTTGTGCCACCTTCATATGGACCGGTTGCCGGACTGAATGAGTAGATTTTCGGATTCGGGCATGTTTGCGATCGATTGAGCCAATCATTTTTCTTTTCATCGTGCATCGAACATTGATCGGCAACCTCACACGTTGACGTCGATTGACACCAACCACAATTATATTTTTCAGGCAATGCTAAACATGTTCCACAACTGTCACACATGTCACGACATCGATAAATCACCACTATAAAACAGATATAAATATTTATTTGAAATCGAAATTTTTACGTATATTTAAGTGGTAACAACAACATAAAAATGACATAAAACTTACCGTGAATGTTATCTGGATTGTCGAGTGGTTTCGAACCGCCCCATATAACGGCAAACGTTGCTGTTAAATTGGGCGACTTTGATGTATAAACAAATTCCATGGCATCACAGTAGATGGTATCGCCCAACAATTGTGCATTCACACTCGTTACACGCCCTTCAATATTGAACTGACACACGAACCGTGTTTGAACAATAAACTGTCCAATGATATGCACTTTAACTTTGATGGATTTTTTTGCACCAGACGCTACCAAAATTTCGCTTCCATCGCCGGTTGCATTGATTGTTGGACAAAAACTGGGACCCGATCGATAGCTTGGCCCAATTCTCTGTAATTGGTCAATTCAAAAATCGTTTAAATTTTTGAATCTTTCATGATAGTAATTTGATGTAATTTTAACTACTTACACTAACGCCGGTCACTAAAATATCATTTCGGCAATTCTCGGCCGTATCGTGGGTACAGCGATGCGCTTCAACACACCAATCACACGGAAATTGTGACGATACGCATTGTGTGCATGATAAATGTGTTGAACAATCGAAGAATGTAAACGATGTGGAAACCAAATCGGGTCCATTCATTGTGCGCACAGACAATTTGGCAGTGAAATGATCTAGAGCGATTAAAAATAAATTTATTTTCCGTCGTCCGTTTCAATTGAAGAACGAAAATCTGAATGAACGAAAAAGGACAAATAGACTTACGTTTGCCGGGGGCAATTTGTGGAAGAAGATCGGTACGAGGAGTTGTGCAATTGACACCATTTCGTTTTCTTGTTGCGTTTGTATAAATGGTTGGTTTATCGGTTGTAGTAAATGCGCACACCAGGCTTTCTTTTAGCTGCGGCAAGTGGTCGATTGTCAATTCAAGCTATTTGGTAAAATAAATGTTTAAAAATATTAGTTCCCTGTTCCAATCATCAAATTGAGTTGATTTCATTGTGAAAAAGCAAAAAAAAAAATCATACCGTTCGTGCGGTAGTTCTTTGAAGTTGATGAGGTACGACGCTTGTGATTGTCGTACATTTACCGGTTTTGTATGTCACCCAGAATAGTGGATCATTTGAGTTATCTTCGCAGCTTGATCGAAGACTACATTTATTTTCCAGTGAACACCATCCACAGTATGGATCTTTGGCTCCCAAGCATTCGGCACAATTTGAGAAAACCGTACAATCGTAGACTTTAACTTTTGTCACCCGATTCTTTGTCATCACATACAGATTCAATTCTTGTAGATCAAAATGCATATCAGCATTAACGGCCGAATTTTCATGGATTTTAATGTCAGCATATTCGATGGCCGATGTGCCTGATTCGACTACAACCTTTTTCACATGACCATCAACCGTGCCAACGAATACAACTGTAAATCCACTGGTTCGGGCTGCGGCAACGGCCGTCAATTGTTTATCAAAAGTTGCAACAGGTACTGCAGCAATAGCCTGTTCACCGCCCAACGGATAGTTAACATCTAGGCCACAAAAATCTTCGCTGATTGTTTGCAATTTGGTCGATACGCATGGCATATTCGGTAAAATGAAATCTAAACCGCGTGAACCATGACCATTGAAACATGATTTAATATTTTGCATGAATTTACGTCGAATTGATTTCAACGAATACACACAAAGTGCTGATTTATTTGATGGTACATTATCTTTGCCTTCGGAAAAGACGGCATACAAAACATCATCTTGTGGTGTAATTCCAAGATTTTCGGCCAAATCGGCTCCCGGTTTGCCCAAATATGCTGCCTGAACCAAATTATATTTTATCCCTTCGCCAATGCAATCGACCGGAATTTCTGTATACGAATAGTAATGCGAATCTTCTTGACATATGCGAACCAATTTTGTGATATATTCTTTTGTCACACTGGGCGCATTGTGTTTCAATTGTGTGGTCATGAAATATGAAAAACGCTCAGAACTAAAGCCATACACATAATTAACAGGATATGATTCACGTGAATTTGGATTGATGAACATTCGCGTACCAGTTGTTACAGCCGACGATGCCAATTGGAACATGCGACTCTTTTCCAAGCTACGCGATGCAACAGCTGGAATTTCGCTGCGATACAGTGAATTTCCAGCAAACGTTACACCAACGTACATTACATTTGTGACAGGCGGTGCCGGTGGACCGGGCGCTATAAATGCAACTGTTGATGCATCTACACAACAAAAAAAAATAACAACGACAACAACAATGATGTCACACAAAAATTGATTAATTTCAAGTTTACCAGCTATAATCAATGGCACAAACAACAATACTTACTTTCACTGTTGGCAACAATTGCTTCGACGACATCTTGTTCGGGTGATGAAATATTTTGCAAACTTCTCACCGAACAAATGCCTTGGAAGAGTGAACCGCAAGTAATCAGTCGGCTCGTACTGTAGTCGATTAATAAAACCTTATTTATATTGTCGGTTAGTTTGCGCGTTAGATTCTGTGTGCATTCGTTGAAACTACATTCTTTGGAATCATTTCGTGGGCCTGTTTTTGCATTAGCTACAATTTCCAAGTCGGGAGATAATTGATACAAACGATTTCGACCTCCAATGAACACCTTGTGAATGACGATGAATGAATGAATGAAATGAAAAAAAAAACAACGAAAAAATAAACCACAATCAGTACAATTATGCACATAAACAAGTATAAAACACAATAATATGTCATTTCAATAGAATGAAAACTCACTCTTCCAGTGTTTCGATCAACCACTAAATGATTCAAGTCGGTGTCAAATTCAGTTTTATGCGTAATCGTATTATTGCTAATGCTATTGATGCTATTGTTGAAACTGGTATAAATGCTTTCGATGCTATTGTTTGCATCACTGGCTTCGATAATTCGTGTCCTGCCGGTGTTACTGTTGCTTACAAACTTGAATATTGTTATAAACAACAATAAATTTAGGAACCCTTTCATGGTTCACGACATAGACCTAAAATAATCACAAAACAAATGAAAAAAAAAATAAGAATTGTTAACATTTAACACACAACAATTTCACAATGTTCAATTTAACATCAATTTCTTTCATTCACGCACACGCACACAATGCAAAGTGTATCGATATCTTTTTGCTCGTAAAATGTCTCGACGGGAGTAATTTATCTCATATTTTTCGATCGAACAATTATTTTATGAATTGAATGGAGAAATTTTCGTAAATTATTTTTCCGTCTGGCGATATTTTACACTCACACCAATTCCATATATCGCACATATATTATACACCTTGAAATACGCGACACAATACAATGTATAGGGAAACGCCACACACAGAACAATTTATTGAAATTGAACACAAAATGCACGTAAATTGATGAAAAAATTTATATCAATTGAACTATTTCGAGCACAATATGAATCATGGCAGCATCTTTAATACAAAAAATTCACATCGAATATCATAAACAATTGAAAAACCATAAAACTTTTACCTAAAATTCACACAAACACATCGATAGTAGCTCGATTTTTTTTTTCTACTTCTCTGTTGTATATTTTACTTTCCTATCGATTTATCCAACAGAGAGTTGACAGTTCTCTTTATTAGAAATCAAAGCTTCATCTGTTTGTCTCAGCTATGTTTGTCTCTGTCTGGTATATGCGAAGCAGTACGTTGTTGATGCCGCCATTTGTTATAACTAGAGGGCGCATAATTAAAAAAATCTACAAGTGGCAATGCAACTTCATTGTGGTACTTCGCCCGAACGCATACAAACGCAACACATATACACGCACTCACACAGTCGAGTGTATGTGTGAAGTGGATTTTGACAGAGTTAAAATCACCGAAATGTAACCAAGCGCAAGAAGCTGTCAGTGATAGAGCGAGATATGCAAGAAGAGTGTATTCATTCATAGCTGCGACGCCTGCCGTTTTCCCACTTTTACACAGAGTTGTTTTTTTTTGCATCGGTCAGTCAATTTTGTTGTATATGTATTGCATCTACAGCGTCGTCATTTGTGTGAATACGTATTGAAAATCGATCGCTTTTTCCCCGTGCAAACAAATGATGATTCGATGGGAAATTCGACAAGACCAAAAGAGACTTAAATCGGCCCAAAAACCACAATACATTGCTCTGTTTCAAATTGTTTATCAATGTTGTTTTTGCTTTCTCATCATTGAGTCATCATCATCTTCGTCTTATTTTCTCCATTCATTATTTATTTTTTCCCCATTGATAAGCACAGAGAGAAAGAGAGAGTGAGAGCGAGATTTGAAATGAAACAAGACTGTTCAATTCAACTTGCGTTTAATGTGTGATGTCGGCTTTCATATGAATCACTCATAAATGGCGTGATTTATGTGAAACTGCCTATCACTCAAACTGTCTCGACTTTTATTTTCTGTTTAAACTTTTCGGTTTGTTTGAACAACATGCAATTGTAATTGTAACTGTCTGATGTACATTGAATTTGTTTAAATTGAGTTTATTTAAATTGAATGCTTCTGTGGCTGCAGCCACTTCGGTTGTTTTTGTCGTTTTGCAAATATCATCGACAAATTCAAGTGTGGGAATATGCGTAGGATACGAAAAAAACTAACAAGTAAAATTCTAATGACAAAAAAAAAAAGATGAAAGCAACAAGACACACACAGAGCGAGAGTGAATAAAATCAAAATACACACGGACATTGATTACAACACGCCCATGTATAAACTGATGTGCTCAATGATGCTTTTGATAATGTAATCATGCACTCCGTTGGCTTTTATCGCTTGATCAATTTTTCGGCATATTGCATATCTCTCATTTAAAATTTAATTGAATAATTTATGTAATTTGAATAACAGCTTTTCAACAACAACAACAAAATGCGGTATTTATTGAGATAGGTCGGGAATGTTATCAGACCAAATGAAGAAAAACTTTAATAAAGTGAAAAAAATAATAATCATAACAAAATAGATGCGATAGGCAATTTTTTATCAGTTTCCAAAGGGCAATGACTGCCGAGATAAGAAAAGGGGTGTGGTATATATTCAATTCTGCCACCACTTGGCATTATAGATAAGCTGCACGGATGCTGATGACTGAGACACGTAACAAGTGAAATGTAGCTTTATTGTATTTCACTTTGATATCACACACACACACACACACACACACACACACGCATACAGAGGCACACAGATAGATATGGGGGAGAGAAATTCACTTTGATTGAAAACCAAAATAAACCGGATAACGAATTTATTGAGCGAACTGCTTTGTATTATCCATACAATAGATTCGTTATCGTTGATCCTTGTATATGAGTCAAGTAACTGTGTGCACTTGAATTCTATTCTATTATTTAAATCATAGTTGATTCAGATATTTCACGAGTCAGTTGTTAATCAAAGCGAATGAATTAAACGGAAACAGGCACTTTACTTACCCGAAACACGGTCCCGACTGTATTTTCGTAAACAGGAGTTTTATTTATTCGAAATGACAAAATGAAGACGAATAAATGATGATGTTGGTGTTTGATGATTTTATTTATTTAAAAAAGCTGCAGTTAAAGCACCAAAATGTAAAAGCACTGAGTATGATCGTTTCCTTTTCTCGTTTTAAAATTTAATTATATTTAAATGGATGACAATGACCATAAGACACATTGCACAATGTGCCACTGATCCATAGTCGATAGAATTAAATTAATAACAATCACCAGTACTCACAGATAAATTTGTAGAAAAAATATGGCATAGTTCTTTGTTTATTTTTATGGAATTTATTATAATAATACTGCCTTTTTTTATCGTTTATTTTATTTTATCTATTTTCAAATGTCCGCTGCTTTTGATAAGAAGTTGAACCTTTGATACGGAATGCTTTATTCGCAAACAACGATACAGAAGAAGGATGAGTCAGCGTGTACGGTTTTGTATTTCGTACATTTGTACAACATTAAATTCACTCGATAAAAAACAAATGTATATGCATTTTAGTAAAAAGAAAAAACAATGTTATCGGTACTCGTCGTCGTCGTCGTCGTCGTCGTTATTTTTTTCCGCAGTTGTCTCAACGTGCAATTGATAAACACTAAATATCAATCATAAAACATGCACAAACATGAATTCACAGCTTAATTGAAACACAAGAAAATGAGCGGCAGAGACGTATAAACCAAATCACACATATTTTAATTGAATGCCATACAGGTATATCTGATTTAAATTATGTGAATATAATGAGGATACAGCAAACACATGCAACTTTTGTCACGTCCAATATATATGGTTTATTGTTTATCGAATTCTTGTTGTCGTCACACACACCAAATTGAAGAAAATCGGCTTTTGTTTTGTTGCTTCTTCACTTTATTGGTCATTTATGAAATCTTGGTGCCAGATCCAAAACACGGTGCAAACAAGTGAACAAGAATGACACAAACAAATCCAATATAGTATGTCGTATAAATGCGAAACGCAACCACTTTCGCTAATTCCTTTTGTTTGCTTTTCATCTATATTTGATTTTTCTTCATTTATTTATTTATATATATTTAGTTTTGTTATTTTCGCTTTTTTTCTGTCTTTATTAAGTAGCAAGTGGGCGATGAATGCACATACAACACCTAACAAGATCGTGTTTTTGCGCACACAGACACATTCCCTTCACCACAAGATTATTCTTTGCTTTACTTTGTGCCTTGTTGTTCACCACTCTCGAATAACATGTAAATAATAATAGTTGAAAAAAGAAAAAGGTATCGAAACAAATGAAAACACCAATTCGATTTGATATCAAATGGAAACGAACAAAATCCGTTTTAATATTAATTGTGCGTGTGCTTGTGATGATTTTATGTGCTTTATGATTGCTTACATCCACAAAATTTGCATTGCTTTTCCACAGTCCACTCTCTGCCCTTTTTTGCAAATTCGTTTTGGTTACTCACTCCTTTTTTGCTCACTACTATAACATTTCACAATCATAATAGTAACAACAACAACAACAACAACGGCTAAACATGGCTGGCTGTGTTTCCAGTGCATTTATTCGATTTTCTCTCTATCTGCCCGGCAGCGGTACAACTTCAGCTTGAATTGACAAACATTCCATACAGTTTGCGTGCGATGCCGCTAGAGGTCGCTGTCATATATTTAGACCGTCAATCGTATCGCATTCAGTGTGAACATTTTTTTTTTTTTTGAAAATGACATTCGGCGCTGTAGTCGTACGAAACTGGTCAAAAGAGTGTTGTTTTTTTTTCTTGTTTAACACGATCATCATCATTCGTACACACAGTTGTCACAACAAGAAACAGAGTGAAATGAGAAAACAAAGTGTATAGACAAGCTCAGTTTTTAATTATTTTAACACATTCGATTTGTTTGTTTTCTGAATGAAACACACTTGGAATTTCTAGATCGGCAATATGTCGAATAAATTTAATGGTTTTACAGTGGATGAAATTCACAAAATTAACACAAAAACCGAACACGGTAATTATTTTACATCAAGTTTTTGCCATCTTGCTCTCTCTTTCTCTTTTGCCCTCTTCTTCAGTCTATTTTCTCCCACCTATTTATATAGCGTAGCTTTCATTTGCTGGGAACTATCATGTTTTGACTCAAACATTTCACATTGTTGTTTAGTTGTTGATGATCGAATTAATTTTTGTCGTTTGTTACAGTTAAACGGTCAAATGGAGGGACAGTGCGCAAGCATACAACAAAAAAACTGAATGGAGACACAAAATCAGCCGATCGAATTGCCAAAAGTGATATAAATCAAAATAATGCAATTAAAAATGCAACGTCAGCAAACGATACAAATTTATCGGAGTCAACAATTCAAGCATTTCACGATGCAATGCATTTTAAACCTTTGTCACAGACACGTAGCACAAACGATATGGATACTGCACACGACAATTTAAATACCGATCATGACGCAATAAATTCAGATCAACAAGTTGAAAATACCGCCGATAATATGGTAAATAATAATTGTGCGAACCAAAACACGGAATACGATTTAAATGATCGCGCAACATTATTCCAAGGAATTTCACTGAAAGATTTTGAAAAGCATCACAAATTAATGAAAGAATCAAACTTGGAGAAACGTAGACTACTCAGCAATGCAATCGAACAACGGTATGATCATTTATCTTATACATTCCAATCGTTTCGCTAATTACCGAATTTTGTTTTCAGTTTTGAACAGTCCATAGCCGAAGCAACAAAAATTGCCAAAATTCGTGAAGAACTTGATAAACTGGATCAAGAACTGGCCGCCGATGTTGAAATACTGCGCAAAGAAATTGAAGCCGTTACGTTACAGTATACAGCAACAAAGTAAATCATTAACATTTCGATAAATTCGCCGAAATGAAATTGAAAATTAATTTGTCTTGCATTTTGTAGGGAGTCCTATCATCAAATTGAATCACAATTCTTAACGGCAAAATTGAATTTGCATCACATTTCCGAAAAAAAGGAAATGCTTACAGAGCATTTGTGTACAATCATTTCGCATAATGAGGATCGCAAAGCGAAAAAATTATCCGAATTATTAGACAAGGTTGGCCTAGACGCAGGCTCCGACTCAAGTGCAAATGGAATTCACAACGATAAAACGTGACTCCCATTTTATATTAACTCAATTTATTTAAGACTAATTTTTTTCATTCGAAAACAACGACGCCGGCTAAATTGATGTTAGTTAACATTTCAACAGCAATCGTAGTAAAAATTAATATAGCAATAACCAAAAGTACGGATCGTACAACAACTAAAAATGTTCGTCGACTTTATGTTTAATGTTTATACTAAATATTAATGAACAAAATAAATGACACTCAATTTAAATCTAACGGTTCAATGTTGAGTTCTTTGCGTAGTTCAACGATCTTTTGATTCCATCGTTTTTCCCAGTAAACGTTCATCAATGGTTTCATGTGTTTGCTGGTATTCAATGCCCATGGTAAATAATGTGTGCGATATTTCTCGCGTTGTCTGCAAAAAAAAAAAAATTATTTGCGTATGTTGGACAGAGAGTAAACGTTCTGCTTATTTTATGCCGCTTTAAATCAAATGAACTCTGGCGAAATTTGCCGAAAAGAACTGGAAAAATAAACAACATATATTACACATGTGTGTTTGGTTAAGATGGTTTTCTTTGTCCTCTTTGGCTAAGCAATCATACTAATATGGAATTCATGTGAAAAGCTAGTTTGTTTATTGAAGCGAATAAGAATGCATGAGAGAAATGAAGACAAAGCGGAAAACAAACAAATAAAGTCAATGCCGCCAACGACGAGGGGAGAGTTTTGATGATATTTTGCACAATTCTATGTGATGCGTAATTAAAAAAAAACGAACAGAATATATTGGCGTGAGAGACAAGTTCGTCTATCTCTCTCCGCAGAGAGTTGTCGACCTCGATTTAAAGCCATCAGAAAATGAAAAATGCAAAAAGAGAAGAAAGATCACGTAGCGCGACAAATTACTATAATTTATTGTTTGATAAAAATGCAACAAAAGAAACGACTTACTTTGGACGTAGTCGCATCGCTCCAAACACAGCACCACCATAGCACATGGGCAAACCAATGTTTATCGCTTCGATCCACTTAACAGTAACCTCGCCGAGCATGTTTGTTGGCATTCCAAGAACGGTATGAATAAGGTCGTGGCATTCACGATACCGTGTCATCACATACATAAGTTCGGGATTTTGTAGAAATTTAACCGGCATACGCGAATCGGGTGTGACATTCTGTGCAAACAAAAAAAAAGAAGAAAATTCAGATTAAATCAGTGATGGTTTTTTCCTATCTGAATAGCGCTAGCTATTCGCAGCGCCTGTACAGCATTGCTGCCCAGATGCTGAATCGTAGCGGTTGCCGCACGCGCAACACACTTCGTTTGTACCACACAGAGCATATACGTTCGCGTTCGTTCTCTGTTCGACATGCGTTTGTATGCTGACTATGGTATTAGTGTATCATACTCTGTGAGCTCACTGGTTACTTAGACTATATGACAATATGTTGTGTGGTACAAAACGCGTGCGGCAACCGCTTCGATTCAGCATCTGGGCAGCAATGCTGTTCAGACGCTGCGAATAGCTAGCGCTATTCAGATAGGAAAAAACCATCACTGGATTAAATCGATGTCATTGATTTAAGAAGCCACCAAGAGGTATATATTGATTTACATTATCATCAAGGAATTTTTTATATGCATAGCCAAATGTATCGTTGGGTAATTTTCCCAGCGCATCTAAATCGATAGCGTTGGAATTAATTCGTGGTTGTTCGTCAAGAATTAGAAAGCCTTCTGGTGAATCTTTCATCAATTTCAGTGTATTTTGTAATGCATCAATGCCAGTTGTTTCACCTAAGCAAGCGATCATATCATGTCTGTGTATGAAAAAAAAAATGTACGAAATAAATTGACGACGGATGAGATCACTTGAAACTTTACCAACATAAAACCTGTTCAAATAAAAATGATTCAGTGTCATTAAAATGAGCGTGACGAAACATAAGCATCAAGGTTCAAGGTTGTCAAAATCGAGATAATTGAAAAACATAACCGGTTTTCTGTCACCGGCAGCAAAAACCAAATCAATAGTATTCTTAATAATATTCTCATATAACTGTGTTATGTGTATGCTTCGTCACCTCAAAAATATAAAAAAAACTCAATTTAATGACATGCGATTATGCTTCATCAATGAATCTTCTATTTTTTTTCGAATAGTATAATTTGAAGATAACCTATGTGGATTAATCAGTGCGGCTACCGATGACCCTATGCTCAAAATTAATCGCTGAACATTCGATATTTGTATGTAGTCGTGTTGAGATTCGCCAATGTTATGCTTATTACTTCCGTTGACGGTGATGTCGACATTCTCCAAAGTGTGATTAACGCCTTTATGATTGTCGACTTCGTTGTTCCACTTATGCGACATAAGCACATGACGTGTAGTCTGTACTCCAAACAATCGCGACGATAAAAATGGACGACGTATCATCGTTTTGTTTTGCTAAATAGTTTTCTAAGTGCTAAAGAAACCAAATAGAAAAAGAAACAAAGAATAATATAAAACTATACATGACCTCAAATTCAAATTCAAAAAACGAAAGAAAAAAAAATTCTGTCATATCCGCAAGGGATTTACATTTATTCAATGCATCTCATTGTTGTCGAGATAAAAAAAAAACCGACGATTATTTATTCAATGAAACGGCAAGTATGTGGCATTTTGACAGATTGATAATTGAAAGACAAATAGAATGTGTTTTTCTGGTCAATTTGTGACAACTTCGTATTGCTTTTGTTTATTTAAATTTTTCATTAACTAGTATATGCATTTGATTGTTGTGTTTTCATCTTTTTCTTCATCTTATTTATAACATTTGGTAAACATAAAACAAAAACAATGAATGGTAAATTCTATTTTTTAATTATGAAAAATTATATTAGAAATAAATGGAAATAACGACATGGCATTTGATAATACTAATTGCTCTTAATTTATAAATCGGATATATGATTTGATCGCTTCGCTTCGCTCTCTCTCTCTCTCTCTCTCTCTCTCTAGATCAAATATGTTAGATGACTGTTTCCATTTTGTTTAGGTCTTTTTTTGTTGTTATTGGTTAAACCCATAATTAAACGCATATAGTGACATGTTTATGATGAAAATCACCTAGGCCTTCTCTTCTCTTACGATTTTACGATATCGATTGGTCGCTTTTGTAATAATTAAATAAATTTCTTATCACACGAGAAAATGTGACTTTTCCAACCTCAAACTTTACCAAAAGCTTGGATTAATGCAAAAAAAAGAACTGATTTCATTTTTGTTTAAATTTAAATTTATGCCATATCATTTTAATTTCACAATTGCATCATTTAAAAAAGGAGATTTCTCTTCAAGAATTCAATTGATTGCATTGAATGTCACGAATATAAAAATTGGAAATTTTCGCAGTAATTTATTACATAACAAGCTCAAATAATCAACGACCATAAGTCATAGAAGTATACTTTCAATATACGTGGCTCATTTCGTGTATATGTGCTTTGTTTGTTTTTAAAGTATTTTCTCCTATTATTCAATTTATTCTTATTGTATAAAAATTCAATAAAATGGCATATGGTGGATTCTTTCATTTGTCCCATCGATTTCGATATCGCTCTAATCAACACTTAAAAAAAGTAGTTTTTTCTTATCTGTTTACAGTTTGTTGCAACCATTATGGGATCGAACAAACTATCGCATGAATTTAAATAATGAAAATTCTATAAATAATTTATATAATTTACATGACAATGCTTTGGCATATTTTTCCTTTTTCATTACCCTATCAAATTTGTCACATATTTTGATATTCGTTCTTTTTTTCTAATAAAATAATAACACATACAGAAAAAAGAAAACTTATTGATTATTGGCTACACACATGTATCAAGGCAATGTTAAGTGAATTGAACGTCAAACATGTGTCGTCCGTCGTCGATTTCTTTATCGTTTAGATCTTCGTTTTACACTTAATTATTGTTCTGTACAAATTCTCGACTATTTTAAGGTATTTAAATGACCACAAATGCTATACATTGTCCACATTTTTTGTTGGCATAATTTTGCGCGGTGTTTCTTTTTTACCGAATGTTATATAGGTGTAGAGTAAACTGCCCATAACACTTATATTAATGCCAATACAATTCAGCCATGAGAATATGTAATCCCCGCCGATGAACATTCCCAAGTATGTAACGCAGATATTCTTGAGACAACCGATGATGGTGGTGGTCAGTGCTGAATTGAATTGTGTGCACAATAGAATGCTGTACGATAGCACAAAGCCCATCACACAGCTGAGGAAAAATTGTATAAAAAATATTGGATTTGACCAATGTTCAAAATTGATGGCCGTCTCAATGTCGCCAAGAATCCAGGCGCCAATTACGGCTGGCACAAGCATTATCAATGAATTGTAAAACATAATCCCGTATTTTCCGATGTCAATTGTTTCTAATTTTTTCTTGAGAAAAACTCCATTGGCCGCTGTCAATATGTTTGTTATCATCACGTATGTATAACCATGTAAATTGAATGTTAAATCATCGCTAGCCGCTAATATTGCACCGCCAACCATACACCATACACTGAATTGCACCGGTTTCGATGGACGAATATTTAAAATCTTAAACTCAAGCATCATTGTCATCAAAATGGAAAATCGACGGATTGCCGTAAACATTGGCAATGGTAGTGCTTGCGTACCGCCCAGTCCAAACATCATATTACCAAAATACATTAACGGCAATGGAAATAGTTTTCCTGGTATATCACTTGAAAAATCTGCATATGTTATGATGCCACACTGTTTGCCAAGTGCCTGTGTGGAAAAAGAAATGAAAACAAAAACAAAATGGAATTAACATCCAATTTCGAATTTGCAGAGAGTAAAACAATGTTACTCACCAATATCACAATTCCGGCTACCATTTGGCCAATGCTGAGCGCCAAAAATGATGGAAATTTCCATGATGTTAGCACCGTTTTATTTACAACTGTGATAAAAAATGAGGCAATCCCATAAAATAGTGCACTGCCAACCTTTTTCAAATAAATGGCCCTTATGTGATTTGCATTTGATGCAGCCGTTCCGGCATCATCTTCTAATAATTTACTTTTACAATCGATTGAATATGCCATCGTTGTTCGTTTTTTTTTTATCGCATCAACACAAAGCGCTAAGAAAGAATTAGCCAAACTACTTTAGAGATGGTCAATGCCAAAAGCGTGACCACTTAATTTGTACACGTCGCGGTTACTTCCTTTTTATTTGTGTTCTTTTCGTTGTTGTTGTTGTTATTATTGTGATTCATTTGCGAGAATTACAATTGATTTAAATCTATTTATTTGTTCGATCGAGCACATTTCACAAAACTAAAAACGCATTAATGTTCATCACTAAGATTTTGAATGAAGACAGAAGCGTTGACACGCAACATAAATACACATTCACATCACATTTTTAGTTATAATCGTCTTGAGTCAGTGAATCGGTGTTTCACTTTTTGTACGATCCGCTTGACACAGAACTTAAACGCCTTGTACCCGCAACCGTCGATAAACATCATCTAAGCAAAATAATGCAAAGTATTTCCCACTGTCATGATAAGACGTGGCCATCTTGGTTTTGTTGTTCTTTTTTTGTTTCTTTCTCTCTCTCTTTTTTTTTCCTCTTCGCCGTGCGATTATGTTTTGATTTGTGACCGTAATCACACCAACATGTGTAAATCACTTGTGATACACAAGCGATGTATACGAATTTATTGTATAATAATCCGTCGCCTTAACATCGCCATTTAAATAATCATTCTTGTTTTTCAAATTTGTTTGTTTATATTGCAAAATGCCACACACCGTTTGCATTTAACTAATCTTAGATTATATTAGTCTTTTATTTATACGGACCTGTTGGAGCCAAGTGAATATTTCCAAAGGTCTTCTCGCAGAAAACAAAAAAATGAAATGTTTTGTATGCTCTGCCACTTAGAACGTCAATGTTTTTCTTCTCTCACGCTATTTGTCTTGTTCTATGTCAAAAATGCCGTCACTCTATCCATAAACGAACTGTCACATTGAATTGAATCTATTGCGTAAACACTGTTGTAGTGTTGCCATTGGCTATTTTCAGCGCTATATATTAAATAGTGGCACATTTTTTTCTTTTTTGAATTGTATTTTTTCTGTTGTACATTTGAATCAATTACCTGTAAAAAAAATGCATATTTATTTTTGATTGATTTGATTCGCGGGTCAGAGTCCAATTATATAATGGATTTTGATCGATAATTATGTTTGTCATTAATTTTGATAGTCAGTCACATTTTAGACTTGAACTTCCAAAAACTAATATCTCGATTTGAAAATCTCGATTTTTGATTGATCGAAAACTTTTCACTTTCACACAAATTTTTCGGCATTTTTTTCCATCTTACCGTTTTGAATGTATTTTTAAGTTTAAAAAATAACTGTTCTTGCTGATAATGATGTCAAATTTTCCCGTGCGAGAACTGGTATTTTTATGTACTCGTTATTGAACTAGATGCCACTTAATGTTGCATGTGTATATACAGTTGTAGACTCTCTTTAAATTGAACTCTCGATAGTTCAAATATTTCAGTGTTTTCGAACAAATTTTTGAAATTCCGTTTTTCATACAAATAGAATGCGATAATTCGAAAGAAATTTCATGTACATAACAATTTTGTTTTGCATGCATTTATAGTTTGTTCTGTCGATATTCGAACATTTTTAAGGCAATAGAAAACTGCTATGAAATATAGATATATTAAATCAAGAAGACATGGAAAGGAAATGAAATTGTATAATATATAGCAGTAACGTATTCAATTGTGGCTTAAGGTAAGATTGCGAACACTAAGATAATATCGGAACATGAAGGAAATAGCTATTTCCTGGAAACACTTTTCCGCATCAACATTCGAAAATCAAATACAGATAACGATTTAACGACAAACCGATTTATTCTGAAGCTCTTACACTTACACAGCGAACGTTGTTTCGTTGTTTCAGTTTTGTTTTTTGAATGTTGTAATTTTTTTTGCATAAATTTACTCTTTTCCATAAAATTTTTGTTATTATATCGCCGATATAATAGAAACTAAGCCCATTACGAGTGCTTACCACTGTGCGATATTCCTGGATATTTAATATACTTTACCACACCTTTGGAACATTTAATCATTAACGTAACTACATGTGACTATAGGCATTTATTAGCTACAACATTTGAAAAGTTATCTATTAATTTTATATTGGGGTGTGTGCGTTCGGGGATCTTTAGTCTTGTAATGAAATTCGTTGACATAAAATTGTACAGAGTCACTTGATTTGGCTTCAAAATTGATTTGCGATAGCGGTGTTCGGCAAAGTGGAATAAAATATGACTTCTATGAAAAGTAGAAAAAGGGAGAGAGAGAGAGAGAGAGTAAAAATGTGCGTCAAATAGATTGTACAAAAAATAATAATAATGGAAAGTGAAACCCCCTTAAGTTGAAGGTAAGAAGAACTCTGACAAATGCGATATTCGCGTATCTGTTACCTTATTATATCACACAAACTGATATTCAATATGAGTCTTCTATTATTCACCCATATTGTGAAGAGAAACCTTCTTTTAATGTTTCCATGTCATAAACATGCTAACGAATTGAAGGACTAAGATTATACTTTCGTTCGATTATTCTTGCACACATAAAAAAAATAATTGCTTCGCACCTACGACGATGATGACCTTCTAAATGCTGCAATGTTGCAAAGTTTTGTTCAATAACATGGAATCATTATTCTCAGTTTCGACATTTATGAGCCATTCTTATAGCACAATCCATGGCAATTTTGTGTTTTTTCTTTTTCTTTTCGTCTTCAACTTCATCTTCTCTTTGGATCTTTTTTCACTCTTTATGTGCCCACAAGTGAAGCGTATTGCTTTTTATCGTGTGCAATATTCTGCTCAGTTATTATAATAGAGAGAAATTGAGCCAGCTATTGCTACTGGTGAGTAAAGAGAATTCTAAATAAAGTTGTTTCTCTCGTCCATGGTGAGGGCAAAGGCAAAGGCAAAGGTATGACGCTATGATGATGATGATTGTCAATGGTTAGAAATAAAATGATAATGAATTTTGTCGGGCGTGAAAATGCTTGTTTTGCTTGCGACAAGGGAATGGTTGCAACAGAGAAAACGATGAAGATGAAACAAAAAACTTTTTGAATTGCCATCACTTTATTTTTAATTATGTATTAGCGTAAACATCATTTACGGATAGGAATCATACAAAGCGGAACGCATATTAGAAATGTACGCACACAAGTACATACTTCGTTTCCAAGCTCAATTCCCATTACATCCTTCATTCTCTATATCCTTCCAATTTGTATGAATGCCGTTGTAACCACCGCAAATCTCCATAGCATATCCGCATCGGCATATATGTATGACGTTTTTGGTTTTCATTTTCATTCAATTCAAACCGTTTCTCACTTTCTTCGTCATCATTGTTACAAACAAACAAACTGTATACGTAATTATGGCCCGTGGTAATATAATATACGGATCGCACATCGTTCACACATCTCAAATTGGCAATCGTACAACGATAAAAAGCCGGAAGAGAAGATGAACCAAAAGAAAATAATCATGCATAGTAATTTGTTTGGCATTCGGCGATGTGTTGAGTTTTCCATAAATTTTTCATTCATACTCTGCAGGGACAATCATCAAAAATGAACGGAAAGAGTCCGTTGATCCTTTATAATTGAGTTCCTCTTGTCTCCATTGGCAAGTAAGAGTATCACAACTGACTTTCTAAGTAATGAACAGCTAACAAATTATTTTAACATTTTCGGAAACTATTTTACTCGTGTTGTTTTTTTTTCTTTGTTACGTCAACATAAAACAACAAAACTAACGACGACAACATAACTTAGTATCATCATCATTTATAAAATTGATAGCATCTGTGCTTGAACTCAGCGACGGCATGTTTTACAAAGACACACATACAAAATGAACCCTGCTTGCATTATACAAATTGTGTTTGCACTTATCACGTTGAGAATAGTGTAACCCGAAACGTTCAACTCTATTTCAAAATGCAGCGACGCTGTTTTAAAGTGGATAAATACAATGCCACTGACATATACAGTGTACATTGTTACGATTTTAACGACTGACTATTTAAAAAAAAAATGTGTCTCTTTTATAAAGTTTCATTGAATCATTGTTTTAGTTATTTTCATTTTATTCAGTAGTAAAGATGAAAAAGTCTTAATTTAAAAGCATATATTACCATTTAACGAAAATAGACAACACTGTAATTTGATTACATTTTGAGCGATGGAAAAATTGAAAAAAAAAATCATCATCATCGAAATGTTTCAAATTTTATTGTCATTTGGCATTTGATATAAGATTATATTGAATTCAATTTTCAATGAAAGTTCGCACTTCATGATGAACCGCTATGTGCAAATGAACAAATGAGTGCGTTCATTTATTTACATTATTCACTGCATTATTATAATGTGCGGGAGTGCTGTGTCAATATAAATGCAAATGAGCAAATGGAAATCTATATAATATGTACGTAATGCTATCTATCTATACATATGCGTATGTTTGTTTGATTTTTCGACACAGTAAATAGGGCATATCTGCTCTTTTCGAATATGTATATAATTAATGTTCGCTGGGTTACAGTTACAGTTACTATATCCATTAAGTGATTTGGATAGGTGATGGTCGCGAATTAATGAATAAATTGTTTTGTCCCTTGACACATAGCTAGTATATGGATGTCACATAAAATGCATGCCTGTCAATACAATAGATCCTTTAAGTAAATACTGTGCATGGTGGCTATAGTGATCCTTGCTTGCGTTACGATTATAAACATAAACATGAATTCAAACAACTAAAGCACAACATAAATTTACAAAATTGTTGAAATATAACAAAAAAAAAACTAACAATAGAGACGGTGTATACTAGAAATATAAATAAATTAAAATAACTTAATGAATGTTTTAGTCTTTTGCATCGATTCCATTTGGAGACGCAAAAGAAAATAACACTCTGCGCAAATTACTTTGCATGATATTTTTGCATAATTAAATCAACGAAATAAAAATTGTTTACTACGTTTTAATTACATAGAAAATCAAATTTCCCCCCATTGAATTACAATGTCTTTTATAAACGGCACGAAATACTATCTACAAAATTGTTTGGAATTCACAAACGGAAGAAATGCAATACAAGCGAACAATAGAAATTTTCGTAAAATTTAGAGTAGAATTAAATTGCACAAAGTAATCGCATAAAATGGCCATATCGATAAAAAATGTTCTACAATTTGAGGTGTATATTTTTGTGGTTAAACAACATCAAATGAGCCCGGTTATTTCAGGCGAATCAACGAAGCGTACGCCCAACCAACCAAATACTATTTGGTTATACCGTAGCTTTTGTAGCCATCGAATGTGAGTATTTAAATTTATAACAGAGCGCGGTGACCCAAGATTTTCCGATGCTGCACACAAAAACTTAAAATGCAATGCAACGCAGAAGATGAGAACAAAAAAAAAATGCACGCAGAACCCGAAGACAACAAAAAAGTACACCCAATGTACTCGATAAACTTGTGTTATTGCTGTTTGCCGTACAATGCAAGTTGTAAAGGTCGGAGAAGTCTAAAAGAAAGCCATTAACGAAATGTATTCGATTAACGATGGTTGGAAAAAAGCCATGCATTCTTCTTTGTACAAAATGCAGATCTTTACAGAAGTGTCTGCTTCAATTCCACACCTCCGATTTCAGTTGTTTTTTCATTCATTGCGTTTACACATCGCACATCGCATACACAGTAGAACCGTAGTTGCACCATCACCACCGCCAATTGTTATCGTTCTCTCCTATTATACAGTTGCTATTCAAATGGAGCGAGCATTTTCATTTTTATTATAGCTTTTAAGTGTTTTTTTTTCACTTTTATTTTAGAAGGGCTATAATTATATTGCAAA